GATTGAAGAAAGAAAAACGAAGATAAAAATGACCAGACGTTTTGAGAAGAAGACTGAAAGTCGAGAGTTACTCAGCAGTCAGCAACGAAGACAATACGTTTCTCACAGTTTTCTTATACGAATCACATATGGAGAAAAAAACAAGAAGCGAAATGAGAGAAAACCATGAAATATATCCAAAGGTGTTTCTTATTATAAAAGAAAAACTGTCAGTTGTTCCTAGTGTTCGAAAAAGTTGCATGACGAAGGAGGATGAATCATCCTAGTCTCCTTCTATGAATTCGTTCAATTCATTCCTTTCTCACTTTTTTTCTCGATGAATATCATTCTACTAAACAAGTAGTTTCGAAAACACCATCGGTCACAAGCTTTCTACTACTGTGAATTTCACAATGTTCACCCGATTAATAATCTTCTTTAATGCAATAAGCACAATACATTTTTGGCCTCTCAAATCCTGCCGACGTCATCGTGACAGTCGATCTGTCAGACAAGGGATGAGCCTGTCTTGACCAATTCGTCACAACAAGCCCGAAGGCAACGATATCTTGTATTTATGTGTTTGAAAACAGTTTTGAAGCAACGATCTGTCATTTGACTGAATTGAGAATCAGATGGACAGTTGTCATCATTGGGATTAAGCACAAGCCATCTGATAAAGCATTTGCCATTCACGTAAAATGAAAATGAAAGTTGCATGAGAGAAAGCAGAAGCAATTTCTCTCATTTATACTAATTGGTCTTTTCATTAATAAGAGACTCAATGAAAGCAAAATGTGAGAGAATGAAGAGAATCACAGAGCATTTCTTAATCGAATAACTTCAAAATTACAGAGGAGAAGAGCCAGATGAGAGTAGAACTGACCTTCTTTCTCTTCCTTTACATATGGTTTTTGAGAAGAATAACAGATCATTAGAAGCATATAAAAAGCGAAAAGCAATCTTTGGAACTTTTTGGCCTACAACCAGTGGCCAATAAAGCTTACAGAAGCTTCTAACTGGATTAAAAGTAAGACTTTCTTCATTTAAACGGAAAAAAAATGAATGACGAGGGATTGTTGCGTAACTTTTTCCAAGAAACTTAAACCAGAAGAAAAGATAAACAAGAACAAATTACGAAAAAAAAACGTTGAAACGACAGAAGTTTCGAGCGCAGTGAGTGATAGGATAGACAAGCAATGATACTTGAGGTAATCCGAATGATTAAGAAGCCTCATGACTTGAGTAAGAAAAGAGAAATTAGTATAAAACCATGTGTAATATACCATAAAAGACGCAAGCCGATTCATACTGGTCTTTGCCATTAGATGGGATTACTAGAACAGATGAAAGCCTCAAGCTTGAAACAGCAAGCATCGGCTTGAGGCTTAAGTGTGAAGTAAGCTAATTTCACTGCACATAAGCTTTATATAATACTAAACTATATTTCGCTAGGCAATTCACATTAATAACAATAATGATACGTTTAGGATGTTTAATTAAACATATAGCAAGGAAATTCCACCTGTTATAATCAGAGATTGGCAGTTAGTAGTCCATTTGCGCTAATAAGGTATATGCAGTCACTGGCAAAGGAGGCAAAGGAATCAAAATGAGAGGGAAGCAAGAACGAATAGGAATTGCATAAGAATAAATTATCAAGATATATATAACTACATGTATAGATACGTATAGTTTGAATAGAAAGAATAGTATGGCATGGTAGATGCAAGGGTAATCAATAACTTTGAATTTTGTGGTAAAGACAGTACAGATCAATCGATATGTGTTGCTCAATAATAAGTTCAAAACCATTTATTTTTGTTTCAAAAATGGAAAGAAAAACAAACTGTCATTGTGAACCCACAAACGTTGAGTGAAGTGTCGAAAGCTTTGCGAAAACATCAAAAGATTAAGAGAATCTTGTCTTCTTCATGTTTCTTTCTTTTATCTCCTTCTTATTCTTTTTATTTCAAAATCTTTTCTTGAGCTAGAAGGATGAAGTCGGCGGATGTTTCAGAAAAAGAATGCTCAGATCCTTAAGCAGATCTGAAGAGAGTCAGACGGCAGATGAAGAGCTCAAAAGTGTCTTTTAACGGCAGGACAGCTTAACTAAGGATATGTAGAGTAGTATACTCCTCTTATAATTCAAAAAGAGCGCAGCATAGTTAATAATAAAACAATTTGAATATGGACATAGCACAAGCGTCTTGAACGACTCGACAGCGTACGTGAAAATAATTTAAGTGCACGTGTAGTCAGTGAAATTTATTTATTTCATATTGTTCTGAAAAGACGTAATGAGCGGTTGGTTGGGGGTATGGTGCGCAGCAGGAATCGCATGCACAGGAACTTCAGTCATTTCAAAACAATATCAAAATTTTAAACTGAAATGAGCAGTTACACTAATGTAGCATTCAGGTAATTAGTTTTAGTTTTTCATTTCCTCTCTATTACTCAAGTTCAAATAGTTTGAACAAAAGATGCTACAAAGGCCAACTGCATTTTGTTTTGAAATGAAAAGCTGTTTAAGAAACAAAAGGAGAGGCTTAGTCACAAAATGCTGTAGAGCCGTTAAAGTTTCAAAATGTGACAAAAAGGCTTTTGCCCTGCACAAACATACATTTTCATTATAAATGAGCATATATAAGATAAAGAGGTTGACTTGACCAGATAGAATGATGAGAACCATTCATCTTTTCAAGTTGACTAAAAAAGTTTTTAAATAAAAAAAAGGAGAAGAAGGAGAAGAAGAAGACGAAGAGGGAAAGTCAAATTGATCAATGGTTGTGTGTCAATTGGAAAGAAAATCTGAATAAGCAAGAATGGCTTATGAAATAGAAAAAAACTAAAACGTTCTTTCTTTGAGTTCTACAAAATACGTCTTAACAAACGAGTTATAAAGAAATACTGCAAATAGAAAATGCAATTTTTTCGGAAAATTAAGAGATACAAAGGCTTGAAGATGTGCGTGATGCTTGAACAACTTGAATTTTATAAAATATTCAGTCTTATTTTTTAAACAAAAATACGCAAAATATAGACAAGATATTGTGTGAGAAAGATAAATTTTCCTTAAAAGAAAGAAAATACTACAATGGTTAAAGTTGTAAAAAGGCTGAAAAGCATCATCTATCATGAGTTATAATAGCTTGTTGCATCTCATTTCATCATAAATCACAACAATATCTTCAAAAGAGACGAAAATAATGTCCTTTGCCAAGTTCGCAGAACAACTCAACGAAGATGATTCCATTATAATAATAGAGAATAGAGCAAGCTAACATCATTTTGTAAAGTATAAGATGACATCTGGATAAGTTTTCCTTAACTTTCACTCTAAGCTCTATACTAAAAAAAAATCTTTTTAACTTGTTCTAAACAAATTATTAAATTGACACAAATTATGAAAGAATAGACTCGTTACCAAACCTTTAAGAAAATAGACAATTCGGAGGGTCAAGAAGGTTTTGTTTTTGGTTCCTACTCAACCAAATCGTAGAGAATACAAACTACCACCTGCCTCTTCCCTCGTAGTCCTCAATCTATCTTTATTCATCCACTTCTTCCTCTCTTTTTTTCACACAATAAATCAAAAAATAAATCTGCAAAAAAAATTTCTTAGTCGAACTCACACAGCATTTCCAGAAACTTCATTGAATATACAGTAGCGTTCTCAAGACAAATATATATATATATATATCTCAAACTAGAAATCACTCATCAATCAACCTCAAAGCTTACCTGATATTCTTGAGAGATACTTGAAATACACGTAGGTCATTGTATCAGATTTCGAAAGTCAACATGACAGTTTATTTGATAAAAAAAACTAAATTATAATTGTTTCCTCTATAAACAACGCCATCAATAAACGTTCAACATAAGTGGAGAGCAGACAGGGATCTTCTTACTGCGGAGAAAAAGAATTCGGATTTTGAAAATAAATACAGTTTGGGACAATCCTTGGAGATAACATGAAAATTAAGGTTCCCAAGAAAGCCTATTAGCGAATGAAAAGAGAAGCCCAAAATCGGTAAGATGAGAAGAGACACTCATTTACCTAAATGACAAACGAAAAAAGCTGTGGGAGGTAAGGATGTTTCTTTAATATAAAAGGTATTCTTATACAGGTTATATAATGACAGATGACACAATAGGTGAAGATTGAACACAATAGTCTGATGGCGAAAGGGATTTGCCGACACTTCAGGGCCGGAAATCAAAATAGAAGCCCATCACTTGATGTATTGAATGTAACAGAACAGGGAAGGGGGAGGTGAAGAAATGAGCCCAGAAACTTCACCCAGATCGTTGAAAACACACATGGAGATAATCTCGTGTTATCCTGTAATGCCATGGAAGGACTACCGACAATGAGCATTAATTACGTGCTCCATGAGCTGCTATACAAATACCGAAAACGCTGATCCGTTTTGTGAATAGTGCAGTCTCTTAATGACAAGAATATAAAAACCGACAGATATTGAGACAGGTCAGAGACCAGCTGACCTATGATGGCTTCACATCAAAACCAAAAGTGCTATGACATAAGAGAAAAACCTTTATTATTCGTTTATTCCTTTGCCAAGCAAAGAACATTTTGTTTTTGACCTCGAGTCTCCTCATTGAAAGAACATCCAATATCTGCTAATTCATTAAGCATCTTCACACTTTCTTCTCACAAACACTTGAGGAAAAAAAGATAATAGCTAAGAATTGAGGTTCAACCATCTGTGTCATCATCATTCGATGTGACTCGGGAAATTTCAACCGAGATAACTAGTATATTTGGATATGAAACTAGAAAATATGATATGAATACACCTGTTGGCATACCGTGCCGTCTAATTAGTTCAAGTATAGTAATTAATGAACAGTCACAGTTTTTTTTGCACCTGCATCGGAAACATTCTTTTCAGTCGAGAATGACTTTTCCTCCAGAAATTATAGGGTCTCTCAACTCAAAATCGCAAGTAGCAAACATGTGAATTTCATTTTGAGGCTTATGAAGAGAAGGAATGGTTGTTCTTGAAATAGTACTCTGTTTGGTAAACGATTTTTGACCACCCTATTATAATAGTTTTTTCTTTAAGCTGGTCATCATCATCCCAATCATAACTCTATGTACTAAGAAAGCAGCTAGAATAAGAAAGAAGAGTTTTTCAAGTAAACTGTATGACCAGACCAAAACGTTATCGCGAGTTCAGAGAGGAAAGGGCGGAATCAAGAAAATATATGTACAACACCAACTCCTAAAATGACCGAAACAAAAAAAACCGAATCAACGCCGAAAGAAAAAATGAAACAAAAAGACGAGAAGTTAATAGAAAAAAGTTTCGTATTCTGATAAAACCATTCAGAACTCCATTAACGGTAGAATCAGCCGCAGGCCCCACATCTCAAACAGGACAAAAACCGGAACTTGTCAGCTCTTCTCCAAAAAAAGACGAAAATCTCTCAGATGAGACTCAAAACAATCTTGTACAGGGCACATCCAGGAATCAGTTTGAATAAAGATTTCAAATTTGAAAAATGAAGTTTCGGGAACACAAAACACATTTTGGTGTTTGGTTGTATTTATACAGTTATAGTTTATAACTCAACTTATAACGATGTCGTATAAATTTCAAACACTTACTATTTGTAATATTGGGTAATAGGGGATAAGTGATGAAAGTTTCAAAACAGTTTTTTACGAGGGTGTGAATAAGTGATATCGTTGGAAAAAAACGAAAATCATTTACATATAAATAAAGCGTGTATCGGTCGTACAAGGTGTGTGCCATTGTGACTGTTGACAGATCTTCATTTTCTTTATTTATTTATTATTTCTTCTGTTCCATTCAATGTTTTTTGTTATTCCAGATGTCAGGTTACTATAAAGGCGATACGTTTCCTGACATACCGTCTGCCTATAAGGATAGTTTCCCTGATCAAATTCTATCAAGTTCGTATGCACCCTATAGCAATAATGAGACAGAAACAGCTGTGAGACACATTCAAAATGAGCTCTATCGTAAGCAATCTTTCGTATATTTGCAGTTAACTAATCATTTTTTAAGATGTTTCGAACGAAAAATTGTATATTTCTCGTAGTCCATGTAGTACGAGTGGCTATAGTGAAGGTGCATTTTCGTCGTCATCTTCTCGTTATTGCTCCGTTGGTGAAAGTCCATTTCATACATTTGATAACTCAACTAAGGTATTTATTATTTTTACATCCTTAATCTAGAGTAATTATGCAGAACGTTACACAATATCGTGATAACATTTACTTGGAAACTTATTATACTCATAATGCTCCGAGTCAAAGAGGTATGGCGGAGCAGAGTTATATGAGAAGTACTAACGATGCGAGTAGCTGTTATACTCTAGGTACTGTTATAATTTATTACTAGAATAATGTAGATTTAGATTCTAAAAATATTTGGATAGATTCTCCAGCGAGTGAAAGCGATGATTCTGAGAGGAATGAGTTCGCTCCCATCCCTCCAGCTTATCGAGATATGTCTAATAGTAATGCTTAACTTTTTAAAAGGCACAATCTTTCTTTTGCAGGACTCTCAATGGATTTGTTCGAAGATAATGAACATCAGGGAAATCTAAATGTTTACGAAGTAGGCTCAGCTCAAATTCTTGTTTAACAAAATCTTGTATATAGGAATGCTGCAGCACCTCATCTTCTGTGTCTGGAGTTGCGTATAAGAAAGCAAGAATTGATTTCCAACAGAAGAATTTTGAAGGCGTATTAGGTAACTAAAAAGTGATGATAACTTCTAATTATAATTTAGAAATCCCATCCGATCTTTCTCCCATTCATGCATCATCAGTTTCTGAAAGTGATGAAAAGTATATTTTATCACAAGCAACAACTTCTTTTGAAGAAGCTAACATTATTTTTGATTATAATGATGACGTAGTATGTGCAGCTGAATTCGCAGAAGATGTACGTTTCGTATCATTCGCTTCAAACTAATCTTTTGTTCTAGGTCTATGACGTTCTGTATTTGAGCGAGAAAGAGTCACGGTTAAGCCAGGATTTTCTATCAGCACAGAGGGAAGTATCTGAAGAGTATCGGACGAACTTGATCCTATCATACATAAATGCGAGCGAAAAACTAAGCATGACTAAGGTATGCCCATATAAGATTGATGTACGGAGCTGTTCTATTCTGTAGGAAACCTTACACCTTGCTTGTTTCTTACTCGATAAATGTCTGGATGTACTCTGTCTCCAAAGACACGTAGCTCGGGATATAGCAGCAGTGGTATTAGTATTAGCCAGGTATGTCCAATACTTTCTGATTAGTCGTAAGCTTATGATTCTAGTAAGGTGGAAGAGTATAATCCATATAAATTTTCATCGGTGATCAAAGCTGGATTAACTTCAGCAACTGCAAAAATGTTGGAGAAATGTGAAAAACGGGTACCTTTGAATAACTTCCCATTGTTCCAATAAAAACTTTTATTCAGATTTTATTTGAGTTGAGATTCAGACTCAATTATCCCAACCCTTACATCTTCGCCAACTATTTCCATTCCATCCTCCGATCTACACAAGACGAAGTATTACTTACAAATGTAGGTTTCAATAATATTTACACGAAACCAAGGTTTTTTCAGTACATTCTCGAGTTATGCTTGCTTCGTTCTTGTTATCGAGAATGGGGTGGACCACATACAGCTCATGCTGCCATCATCCTTTCACATGTTCTCTCTGAGAAGGATGTAAGTTTGAAGCTTCCATTTACCTCCAGCAATTCTGGTTTCAGGGAAATCCCTTAAATTTCGTTCTTTATCACTGTGAGAAAGTTCTAGAACCTCGGAGTTATATACCGCCAAAACTTACTCGTCCTTTAATGGCAGATATGCTGACTGAAATCAATCTGGTATGTTTTTCAGAAAATAAGCATAATTTAATCATAATGATTTCAGGCACAACAAAACGGAATTAATAATATGATTTGGAAATCATATAGTCTAAAAAACGTTGTACCTGTTTATGTGCCCAGATCCCTTTTGAAGTTTTTGGAAGGGTAAGTGTCGGGTTGATCAAGTCTCTTATAGTTGTACACAGTTACGGATTTTTAAGTCATTGCCTTGTTAAACTATTTTTCATATAATTTCCTATATTAATTTTTTAACATTCAATTTTTGTTACAAGTAATAATAAAAATTTGTTGAGAGAACCTGACTCTATTTTGCATGCGTCATTTATTAGCAAACCATTAGAAAATTTCAAACAAAAGTGTGATCCCGAGATGATCGTTATAATACTGTAATGACATGCCTGGTACGATGACAAGCCATTATCGGGCATTGTTTGGGTGCAAAAGCCGTATGAGTCCCCTGAGAAGAAGACAAAGACTCCAGGAAGGGGCAGAAGATAAACTCATAACCCATAATCATAATTTGAATTTTATAAATTTTAATGCGCTTTTCGTCAAGTTCCTTGTTAGAACTTCAGCAGGCATTTGAATCTTTCATCCCAACCATAAGCATATCCTTATAAAGTTAGTTATATGGATTCGAAGAGCTAGAATGTATTAGAATTTGAAGCGATATGATGCAGTTGTTTCAACTTTGTAGATAAAAGCAGGCAATCGTTTCTTAGAGCTTTAATGGCACCTGTAGTACATGCTGAATAGGAGTTCTAATTAGGATCAATTCAAGAACAACTTGGAGCTTGAGAGGTATAGAACATGGGGTTGGTAGTAGGTACAAGGGGAAAAGGCCAATGAGGTATGAATGATATTAAGGTGTTGGTTTGAGAGTTAGCAATTTGATTATTCATCGGTAGAGAGCCAGGCAATGTCTGCTGTAATAGTAATGCTTTCAAGAGCGCTGTTATGGAGATAGAGCCGGAAAGTTTGTTGAAAAATATTCGTTCAACTGCAGAAGTGTTGACTAGTTTCAATGCTGGTAAACGCAAAAGTATTCTGCCAAAGCGACCAGGCTTCAAGAATATTCGTTATCAAAGTTTTTTAAAGGAAAAACCTGATGTGATTTGTGCATTCGGCAGTAGTCATCGAGAGAAGCTTGAATCTTTTCTTGAACCAACTCAACTTTGCTCTGCCCATGTAAAGAATGGGTATCTGAAACTGACTTATGAAAGGAAGAATAAAAGTAATAATAAAGGAAAGAACATTTGACTATTTTCGTTCTCTTTTCTGTTTTAGATTTGTTAGCCATGTCGTGGTAAGCCGTTGGTAAATTAATCGTTGTATTCCATCTGAACCCATTCCTCTTTTAGGTCTTGTTCCGAGATACATGAGAAGCAAGTGTGGTCGCCAAGTGAAGAAAAACATAAGATGAGCCCTTGTAAGCATAAGAGATAGAGAAAAAGAAGCCAAAATAGAAAGTCAGTCGAGATGGTGTCGAGATGAATAAGAGCGATAATGTCTTTAGGCTTCTCCGATTTTTAGATTCCAGTCCCTCGACTGCCCTTCTTTTTCAGATAGGCGTTCTCATCGGTTGGGGTTGACAAGATGAACACGACTCCACTTACATAGTAGTTTTTATGGAGAATAATACGCAAAAAAGACAATGACTTTTCTCAAGTAAAATATTTTGTCAACTAGAGGCAAAAGGGCAGAAGGAAATTGATGAGCTCAACTATTATAAAAAAAATCGACGTAATAAAGAGAGGGATGTTATTAAAGGAACGTCTTTGATAAGGTTCTCCAAAAGTAAATAATCCTCTGACTTTGCCATTCACATTTCTATTCATCAAATACTTTATATGCTCTATTCCCTTCCCTTCATCCACAACATAAAGCTTACTGTAGCCGTCAAGACCTCCAGCGACCCTGACTGCCACTGGCTTTCCTCTTAATCCCAGACTAACATGACAAAAAAGCAGGATGAAATCAAACGCCAGATTTAATTCAGTTCAAAAACTAAAGTTTTCAACCACAACAAATACCTGGATTAAACAGAACTGCAGCTTTAACACAATTCATTTCAGCGATGTCAAGTTGTAAGCTCTTAATCAAATCTAGTTGCCCCTGATTACGAAACTGCTATTTGGAAAATTATTTCATAATCAGTTACCTGTAATGAAATAGCACTTTCTTTGAGTTCTCGTGTGTAAGTCGAAGAATCTTCTTGAGCTGTAGCCAATATTCCGATAATCTAAAAAAGAGGGATTAAATATAATTGAATTTATCTTACTTGATGAGGGATGGACGACTGGGATACATACAGCAAGAACAATTGACTCCAACTGTTTTGAAGTAAAGTAATCTGAATTCTACTATCCACAGAGCTAACAAAAAACAGGAACAACCTGGTCTGGAGATGCTAAATCAGCATAAAAAGGAAGTTGCTTAGTCCAGTCAATTATAGCAAAAAGAAGTTGTGCTCCGAATTCAGCTATTGAATCAAGCAGGAAAGATTCTAAACAGGGTAAGATGTATGGAGATACTTCCAACACACCTGATTTATTGGTCAAATCATTGACTGTTTGTGGCAATGAAGGGATCATATTGGAGAAAAAGTGATTATAAGGTGCAACTGATCTAATCATAGGCGGATTTTGAAAAAACGAATTGAACGGCAGAGCTAAATTAACAGGAGGAACGCGACCACGTTGGACTGCTGGAATCATAATCGTAATCAATCTGATTAGTCATGACTCATACCTTCTTTTCTCATTCCCATTTTCACACATTTTCTCAATCTACAGAACTGGCACTGATTCCTATGATGAACATCAACAGGGCAATTTTTCTGACCACGACACGTATAGCTAAGTGAACGACGGATTGATCTAATGAAGAATATTATACTGAAATGACTCAATGCTTTACCTTTTGAAGAAACTTTTACAGCCTTCACAAGAGAACTGACCATAATGCTTTCCGCTCGATTTATCACCACAAACTACGCATTCCATAGTATTATCAGCGAGAGAACTATGGGAACTTGTAGATATAATAGGCAGAACCTCATTCTAAACATCAAATAAGAAGCAACAACTTTAGAAATCAAACTACCTCTCCTACAGGATCAATTAGAGGACTTCCCCTACTGTGGCTAACAGAGCTATTGATTGCCATTCAAATAAAATATGATATAATGATTAGTATATGTGTATATATATATATATATATATGAAGATCTGTGTTTAACTGAAAAAAGTAATGTATAAGGTCTGAAGAAAATTCTGAGAAGTTTTTGAAAAGCAGGGCGGTATACGGTAACTTTGACAAGCCGTTCGGAGGAGCACACGGCTTACTAAGACTGGTGGAAAGCAAAGAAAGAGCCCGGGGGAGCGCCCAGAGGGCAGTCCCTATTGAACTTGTTTGGCAGTTCTCGACGTTTAGCAAAAGTCTGATATATAAGGGCGTGGCCTCTCTGAGAAGTTGAGATTTTTAAGCTTCTTCTAGCTCTTGATGAGTTATGGAATTGAAGCAGCTGCTAAAGCTACGGTATATCAGTGAAAAGCAACAGATGTTTCCAGAACATGAAGGTGGAACCTGGACTTAGCTATACCAATGGTCATAGGCAATTCGTTGATGATAACCACAAGTCAGAACTCATTTCTACTTCTCGATAAACGTCAGAGCTCTGGCACACGGGCTATGACTCAATCGGCTGTTCATTTAATTCTGCTAATAATTCCCATACTGAAAAAAGAAGATTATAAATTACAGCTGATGACATCGCGAACTGCAGAAGAGAGATCATTTCATATTCCAAGCAGAAAAAATTTCGAGGGAAATACACTATTAAAACCCAAAGAGATAATAATCTTCAGAAACTCAACGATGACAATAAAAATAGTTTAATATGTTACGGGGGAATAAGTGAGTACGAAATATGGATCAACACCAACAGTTCAAGACCGTTGATAAATATCGATAAACTTGTAAAAATGTACGTAATATCACGGGTAGTTGTCTAACATTAGCATGGTATGTTATAGTGTTTCATTTTTGAATGTGGGCATGTAGAGGCGGTTGCAATCAGTTACTTCTTGCTGAATCATCCAGGTTTACGTTTTTTTTGAATATTCTCAAACCGTATTCCTTGAACAGCAAATTTGATTTGTAATTCGTCATTAGGTTTGCCTCTCAACAAAAAAGCCAAAGAGGAAGAGGGTAGAGCTTTTGTTAAGTGGTATTGAGAGAAGTGGCTGTTAGATCAAATTGTCTCTTCTCCACGAGAACAGAGAAAAATGTAACAAAAGTTAATTCAATGAACTATTAGAGAGCTGGGGGAGTTATTAGAAAGAAAATGGCACAAATACAAAGTCCAAAACAGACTTGCAGCTCACACCTATGCCTTTCTTATTCGCGGAGGCGTTCAAAAACAGTTCAAAAGAACGAACCGCAAGTCCGGAAAATGAATGAGCTAGGAAAAAGCATAATCACGCAAAAGAATCGAAGCTTCCCGCGGAGATGGGCAGATGGGGGAAGATGATCCCCGCATCATCATAATTCAGGCGTTTAGTAGGAAGAGGAATGGCTAATTCAAGAAAAAAACCATTAATTTTGATTAATTTGGTAGATATGTCCTTTGTAAGAAAAAATATCTGTCAAGTATTTACATAAAAAAACATGAAATTGAATAAACTTTTATTAACTCAATCGACAAATTATTAATATTATGCTATATTACACCTGATATATTGGTTGTCAGATCTTTATGGTACTGAAAGAGAAAGATTTTTTTTCCAGAAAATTAGAGAAAAAAACTTACAAAGATGAGCGGCTTGTTGTAATCGAATCGGCTTAAAGGAGTGTTGTGATGAGGGAGTAATTTGATTTGACTATAACGTATTAAATATTATCTTTTATAAAAATCAAACTAACGGGAGTCTCTGTGAGTGTGGTACTTAAAGATGTTTTTTTGGCTGCTCTCGGGCAGAAGCCTCCTGCACAATCACGAGATTCGTGTGATGATCCTGAAAAGGACGAAATGAACATGAGGGAGAGACATTTTTCCGAACCTCTGCATCCTGTGCTGGCTTGAGTGTATGAACATATCCTTGTCCTTACTTGTTTGCCACAGAAACATACTCCCCACTCCGACCAATCAGTCCATTTTCCTTCTGAAATAATTTATTACTCAAAAGCAATGTAATTAGCTATTACCATTGTCTCCTTCGGAAACACCTTCATCAAAAAACTTGATCGGAGCTTCTGTTCCTGCTTGGAACTGGAATAATTTCGTTTGCGCTTATTCGAATTATGGAGAGCTCACTATTTCAGATCCTTGTACAACGGGAAGTCCAAAGTCTCCTTGTCTAATGTCCATAGAGCCCTCTTGTTGTTGGTTTAAATCATCAATTTTCTCGTCCATATCTTTCATAAGTTTCTACAATACCCCCCAAAGTGATAACAAAAGAAGTTAAGAAAACCTGAAGTTGATTGATTTCATTCATTAAAGCTACGGATTCTGTGTCGGAAGGGAACTTTTCAGTGCTGTGATTCTGGAATGCAAAGAATATACTCTCAATCTCAAGTTCAATCTAAACATCATTGGCATCCTTATCGCTATGGAAAGTTCTGACACCCAATGCACGGGCACGAGCTTGTTCAACTGGCTTTGCTTTGAACTTAGGGAACTGAAGTAAGTTAAATTTTTGAAAAAAGAAATAAGAGAAACCACTCACCATTTTTAAGGGATCTGGATTGATAGGAGAGTAATCTCCTAAGTGGAGAACAGTATCTCTTTCAACGTTCTTACGGCTTTTCTTCAGTTTTCTGATTTTTCTCTTGAAATTTGTCATTACTGTCACACCAAATGATAAAATTAACCTTGGGGAGATGTTTCTTTGGATGAGCAGCCTCTGCTGAAACTTCAGAAAGGTCCTCACGAATAGGAACAACAGGAACAACAGCTACGATAGGTTCAACATCTCCATCTTCAGCAATCAGAGCTCCGTTCGTAGAGCTCAAGCTGAAAAATATGAACTGTTTTCTTTTATCAGAGTGAAAGACTCACAGTGTAGAAGGTTTTTGAACATTTTCAGATAAAACCGGAAGTTCGGAGGCAGCCTTCGTCATATTCTTCAACATCCAGTCCAAAACACTCAGTGTATCAGGAGATATTTGATCCTAAGTAATGGTTAGATTAGAATTGTTGAGTACGAACTTACTTCTGGAACAACTTCTAAGAGGGGCGAGCCTTCAGTTGTAGTAACTTCTCCAAAATGAAGGTTATTATCAATATTTTTTTTTATTGCTATACCTGTGAACCCGAATCCTTAAATATCAGGTTCAGGTGTAAAAACATTAGTACAACTCTCTCGCACTAACCTTTTCTTTTAGGTTCTACTCGTTCCGATGGATCAGTAGCATCTTCATCTACTCGGAATGTTTTGACTTTAGCTGCATTCTTCAGGTCAGCTTCGAAAAGCGTACTTCTGGAATGAGTTTTTAATTGATTTCAAAAACTTAACAGATGTGGAAACCTGTCATTCTCAAGAGAACGATCCGGAAGAGATTCAGAAGCTTCTCCAGATATATGTTCAACTTTCTTTTCATCGAACGCCTGAAAAAAAAAGATTATATCAAAAGAAAGAGTTAGAAGTGAAATAGTCACTAACACTGAATATTTTCGATATTCTGTCTCCAATGGCTTTTCTTTGATTTTCAAGATCGGTGCGTGTGAGTTTAACAATCTGCAGTGTGTTTCGTGCGCTAACATCAAACTGATGTGCATTCCAAGAAATGCTGAATACTCACTTTGGTTGCGCTTTCAGGTACACGAGACTTTGATGTAGTGCTGGGTGAGGCAGAAGTCGTGGTTGGGGGTAATGTGGTTGTGACAGTAGGAGTGGTTGAAGACGTTGAGCTGATGGTTGTGCTCGTAGTTGTGGTCGGCACGGTAGTGGTGGTCGTGCTGGTGGATGTGACAAGAGTGGTTGCTTGAGTTTCGGAGTGTAAGTCAACCTGAGGATTTTATTTGTGAAAATTCGAAGATTGTATGCGAAATAAAATAAATTACTTAATCATCCAAAACTTGAAAGCTTAAACTAAAAAAACTCATTAACAAACCTCATCTTCAGTTTTCAAAACATGCTGAGCTTGAGCAACTTCTGCTGACTTTTCATCCCTATAAAATATCGATAAACGAGATAATTGGAAACTTCACAAACATTGGAACGAGGTTCAGAAAACTGTTTTTGTGTTCCTCCTTTTCGAACGACTGTAAACAATGTAAGCATACGGAATTTCACTTTATCAATACCAACCTTCTCCGAGCTACCCAGTTTGCCCGATCCCTTATGTTTTCGTTCTTTGTGTTCGTTGGTTTTCACAGCAAACTGTTTAGCTCCAAAAAGTCTCTCAGGAGTTGAACCTTTATTTTTAATATGTAATGGAGTGATTCTTACAAACTAACCTGGAGCCCCGTCGAAATCATATGTTTGTCGTCTATCGGATAATTCATGTGTTATAACTCCTAGAGCACTTGGACGATCATAAGGAGGGGGTTCAAGTTGATCTGATGCAAGAGTTATAGAAAGTTCAACTAAAAGTAACCTACGAGTTTTTCCAGCACTTAGAATTTTGAATGAACCAGGAACTGGAGCCTGATGCTCTTTCTCCTGCTTCTTCTCGTCATCGTCTGGGTATAACTGTTTCAAGGCTTCCTCTCTATCAGCTTGCCATGGATCAACGACATCATAATCTGATGTTGGTTGATGATGAACCCTATCGGTAGGAGTAGTAATCATATTCTCGCATGGCTTCGTTTCCTAAAAACAATCAGTCAGTTCTGCAACTTTGAAAAAAAGCGAACTTGATTAGCCCCAAGACAACTGAAGCCTTTAACAGTATTACATGCTCGAACTCTTATTTGTACTCCATTGCTACAGAAAGACCAGGCGGACCAAGCAGCCCAGATTGAAGCGTACACTGCAAGCTCATGATTAGAATATGTTCAAAATCCTGCCTTTTTCTCAAAAATACTCGAAATCGGATCGTATCTCTTATGGTTTGTTGAACTCAAACTGTTGTGAAGAATGAAACCTTGTTTTCATGAGAAAACTCCAAAATGATTATGAACAATCATGGAAATCACTTTCACAATGAAAGATGATAATGTCAGATAATGAAATGGGTCATGAAGTAGATGAAGACGATTTCGCGCAACATTTTACCTGATCATTAGAGGAATAGAAAGTGATATGTTCGGAAAGCAGGCTAGGTCAAATCAAAAGTTTCAAGGAAATTTTTCTTACCATCCAATAATTTGTGTATAAATAATTATAACTTGAGCGTCGATAAGCACTAGACAGCAATCAAAATGAAATACGAGACAGGAGAGGAATGTTTCTGATATAACACACTTCCATGGTAATCGGTTGGCGGAGTAATTAAATCAAAAAAGTTGGAGATGATGTTAATACAATCATTTGTCAACGCTTTTTCTGACCCTATATCGCCGCGATGAAAATGTAAAAAGGGGAAAAACTACTCGGAAGGACTCAACGCATTAGGAAGTAAGAGATGTTCTGCTAATGAAAGTTGAGGATTCCGAAGCATTCAAATCATTTGAAGGGAAAAAACGTCAAAAAACTTGATTTATACTTACTAAGTTGTGCATTCTCTGGTAATAATTGAGGTCTTGGTGTTATGAAACCACGAAACTGACTCAATCGACCTGTTGGTGCCCACTGAGGTTCGGAGGTCGTTTGCACATCATCTGTAAATACACAATAAATGAACATCTCATTATCAAAACTATTCTTCTGTTTCTTATTGTTACAAACTATTTCAAGTAAATGCTTCAAGATCTATCGGGGTCAAAATGACTGGTATGACGGTTATAGCCTTTTACACCTTGTGGATATCGCATTACCAATACCAGTAGAAAAAGGAACAGTCATATATCCCGCACAGATGAAAATAAAACTGCCAATTCAGTTTATTCATCAAGATTTCAAAACCGACATATAAGTATAGTGTCAAATGGAAAATCCGTTTGCGACAGTCTGACCTGTACGATAAACTCTGGATGTATTTATAATATTTCTCTTTTTTCGATGAAGAATATAGTTTGTATATTGAGACTCAAAAATATCAAAAAAGTGTGACAACTTCCAAGATCAATTGATGTATTAAACCTTGGACTCTGGAGAAAACTTTGTGAAAGTGGAAATTGCATGGAGAAAGAGAAAAAGTGATCGTCAAGAAAAGGATAAGCTTACCTGCTGCTAAGGTAGTAACAGCAAATAAAGAAGATAGTAGAACAGCAACAAGTGACGTACGCATCGAGTGAACGCACAATAATGCAGTGTCTTCTCTGGAAAAAGGGGGTCATCACCCTGATAACGCCTATCAGAAGGAATTGAAGATCCTATGATTTTGTTTGGCATAGGGATATAAAGAGAAGAAATGAGAATCAACGAGAAAAGGAGAGAAACTTGAAAAGGAAAGGTACCAACAAGGGGCATTGGAAAATTCATAAAATGCAGGAGAAAGCAATTTCTTCCCATCTGGATAAGGCTGGCGACAGAGATCGACAAGCCCTCCGTCAATAATCGAAATAGGAATAGTCAAGCAGAAATTAAATAACAAACCCTATATTCAGCCCGATATCTCATAGTACATAATAGTGAAAGTTGTCGCAGGAAATTGATATAACACAAAAATCTGGAAAAAAAAGATGATGAAATGAAAGCTACGAGTTTTGACCTGTTCATAGCAGTTACTACATCTTTGACGTGAAGCTCACGTGGAATATCAGAATTCATTTACTCAATTACACGTTGCTCAACCGGTTGCATCTCTCGCAAACTCGTTCGCTTCCTGAAACACATAATGAAATTTGTTTTACGGAAATTCGGAAAATCAGAACTATTTCGCTCACAATAACACCACACGCCTAGTTGCACAGCACAACTTTCAGAAAACCATAAACGTTTGATGACCTGCCTTGTAAATATAAATCTTATTAGGTAAAAATCATGTTTTTGTATTTTTCTTATCGGCTTTTTTATAGATTTGTACCGATTCTCTGAAAGAGAGGAAATAAACCAGTTTCGATGAACTTAACATGTAACCAAATGAGGAACTAGAGGATATTTTGCGACTTCGCTAGACTTTCTCTTTGTTGATTTTATTTTACTCTTTGAACTGTATTACTCAAGGGAACTACTGTTCACTTCGAGTTTTTCCAGATCTTGGATCATGTTATTCAATGCTTGAATTTCTTTCCTCAAAGAGTGGAAAGCTGTTGTAATTACTTGACTTTCTCCATATAGAACACTGTTGCAGCATTCGACACTAACATTCCTATCTCATGACTTGAAACTCAATTTTCGTTTTTTCTACAATGTTTATTTTGAATTGTAAAGAAAAAGTTGGTAATAGTTCTATTGAGCAAATCACATTCTATATTGGAAGAGACTATCTCAATGCTTAGTATCTAAGTTGATTTGATTAGGTTTGCACCACAGCTTTCTATCCAATTGAGCCTTAGTTTGTGACAAACGACGTTCTTCACTCATGAAATCAAGCACAAATAGAATTTAATGATATTCCTGAACAATTCTTTGAAACCACTCACTTAGTTCATTGCCGTTGCTCTGGTTTTATGATAGGCTTTTTTGCCTTTATGATCTCCTTCTTTGGTTGCCTAATTTAAAAGCTTTGAGATAATAAAACAGTAGTAAAACAGTCTTCTCAGGACATCCCAAATTAATTAGAGGACAGATTCAAAATCACATGAAATTCAAGAGTACATTTATTTCAAAACATCTTCCGGACAAAAATTCTGTGGAGAAATATTTTTAGAAGCATCAGGAGATGAAATAGTTAAGTTTGGAACTAAAGTTGTGGCTAATTCAGCTTCATCGTTTTGAGAACTTTTGCATTCCACCTCTGTTTTCTTCCATTTCGTTCGGCGGTTTTGGAACCAAATTTTAACCTTTAAAATTAAATTGTAAAAGAGAACTTCTTCATTTAGTGATTTACCTGAGTTTCAGTTACGTTAAGCATCTTGGCCAAGTCACTACGTTCAGCACTTGATAAGTACTTCTTAGAGTCGAACCTCCAAACAGTCGGTATAAAAAATTATTTAACTTATTGTTACCGCTTCTCGAGTTCGAAAATCTGCCGGCCACTGAATGTAGTACGTGGTTTCTTCTTTTTCATAGGTGAGTTCACGGTTGTTTGAAAATGGTGATGCATGCTTTCTGAAAAGCCAAGTATTTGAAAAAAATATTACGGAAAAACCTGGAAGTTCCACATTATCTTCTAATCCGAGAATGTCTTTGATCGAATAAGGTGTGAAGCGCTTTTGGTTTTGCACCGTTGCTTGGTACAATGAAGCTGTGGATGTTGTTGGGTACAGTGCCATATAGGGCATAACGAAAGGTGACAGAAACCCAACTGGGAATTGGAGATCGGATATCATAATTACCAGATTTGGCTCACAGAGGACAGCTATATGAGATGAGAGCAAGTAAGAGCTTTGAATTGCTCTGTACCGTAGAAAATCAGCAAGTTAGCTTAAAAAGCCCCGCCCCTTCAAAGCTGACATCTTAAATAGCTGGCTCCCATGCATCGACTCTTCTACTCAATGAAATTCTCAAATGAAATCACAAAATCAGTGTCTGGGGAGTACGATGAGTGGAAGAAACGCAATCATGATGATTGGGACATAGCTTTTATAAGAAAACGACTAAGCCGTAATTGTCCATTTATAGAATTCATTGATGAATATTGTTGTTGCTTTTCATAGCGAAAATCAGCTTCGATCATAATGTGTAAACTCTGTTATACATTCATGAGAAAAAGCAATCATGAATCATTAGCATAAATGAAAACAATGGGATTTTCTGAGATATCTTTAAAGTGCATAACCGTCTCTTCATGTGAACACGTCATATGCTAATTGGTCTTGTAATTTCAGATAGTGCAATAATAGGCGTTCTCATGCAGTGTTTCATATCAAACGTTGAACTCACATCTACCAAGTTGAGCAAGTTTCTAATTGACATTATGAATAAATAAGAGAACAGTAATACGACGTTAACAGCCAACAGGTAGCATATATTTACAAAAAGAACTTAAAGTACGTATTTTAAATACTACCGTGAGAACATACGTAATCCTTTTCATCCTCCACAATTAACACACTGTCTCGTGGGAAATGAGATTATTTCGCTTTGCGGTAAATGTCTTTAATAATTCTCTTTACGCATATCCTTTTCGAAATAGGCGTTTCGAGAGAGAGCGGTTCACGGAACATTACTATGTCATGGAAACATTAAACTCTTCAAAATTCATCATTTTTCTGTTCTCTCACGTCATCGCAGTATTCTCTTTGGTCTGTACGTGGTGAATAATATTTTCACGTAGACCACGTGAAAAATTACCATCATTTTGATGTTATTTCTGACTCAGAGCGGTTGGCCGAACTACCTTGGCGAAATAAACGAATGGTGTTCCCAATCATTTTTTACGGGAACATTCAAGTTGTTAGGCAGTTTTAAAAGATTGTTCCGAAGACGCATATCACACATAACACTGTAATAATCTCAAAAAAATCATTTTGTGACTGCTTTCAACATTGTTAGTTTTTCATTCCACTAGTAATTTCTTGCGTTTTTGTTCTAGAGCGGACAGCTATTGCAATGATATACTTTATTCTTCAATGGCTAGAACAACTATCTGACCTATATAAGCTAGAATACTACTGGAAACAAAAAAAAAAGAATGGCGGAAGCTAAGATGATTAAAAATCTTATGAGGTAGAAAACTAGTTGCTTTGTTGAAGTAATTCAAAGATTCTGATGAAGACTTAGAATTAATAGTCTACAGGCATTCTATCAAAAAGAGGCTAACCATATTGTGAGCCATCAGCAGTAAGTTAATATTTCATTCTTCTTATCTTTACTGTGAAAGTACATCTGCATGAGCTACGTTCTTTTTTATTTGGGGAAACAATAGAGAAACGCTAGATTTCGTTTTAACAATTTGTCAAATCATGATTGTAAAGTAGCATGTTGATGATTTTCTGGTCAAGCGTGTCTTCAATTGCCCAAAGAGAGAAATCATCAATAAAATATCGAGAATAGTCCCTAATAGTTCCAAAGCTGTGCTAGCTACTCAGCCAATTCTATGCATTCGACTCTGCGCACCTCTTTTCTCAAAATGATAAAACCAGAAACTGTAAGTGACTTCACCAAATACATGAGTTGTGAAAACAAAACTCCATGAATTCTGTGTAATTTTTGAAATATATTTTCAGAGTTATCTCCGGATGGTTGCATTATTCCTCACCTGTCTTTGTTTAAGTTTCTTCTCTATTTTTGGATTTGTCTATCGACAGGAAACTATAATAGCAAACCATACTTACACAACAGTTCTAGAACAACCATGGTTTCGGGTTCCCCATCATGATCATCGCAGGGCACGTGTAAATCCAATACTCTTGATACCTTTATTTACAGGTAGAACCAGCAGATGCTCCACAATCAGGGTTCGGCCAACACCGTATCCCAGAAGATGATGTGTTCATACCACCAGATTGGACTTGGCAAGAGTCTAAATATCTGCCATGCATGGATCGCAAATGTGTCTGTCCATATTTCAACGGTAGTTATTTAGAGAGAAAGAGAATCGATTGATACTATCTTAGGGAAAGTTGAGAATAATGAATGTGTTTTGCCAAACAAGCAAATACTTCAAAAGGCAAAGCGAACGGAGCTTCGCATGCTTAGTAACGAGCAGCGACGTTTATTTGAAGTATGATTCTTTCAAAAAATATCACCTTAATATAAATAAATTTATTCAGTATACTGTCAACTACTTAAAATCTAACAATATATATAACAGGCTCAGCCGAGTTCACAAATACTCGGGTGTTCATTCTGGACCAGCATTTACACTGTGGCACAGAGAGTTCCTCAAAAGGTATGCATTCTTGTCTATCCATAGTAGATATTACGGGTTTTAGGGTAGAGTTGGTTATCCGACGATACAGTCAAGATGCTAGTCTCGGTGTCCCATATTGGGATTCGAGCTTAGATGCACATCTACCAGATCCCTACGACTCCATAATATTTTCAAACTTATTCTTGGGTGAAGTAGATGCTGAAGGCTATGTTATCACTGGCCCCTATGCTAATTGGACCACTATGGAGGTATAATTTGAATGTAGACTCATAGGTTACCTTCATATTAGGGTCGTTCTCACATCCAACGTGCATATAGAGAAGATCCGACAGGAGAGCTTTTGAACAATGCTCGTATAGATTGGCTTACTAACAACGACGACATCAATATGATACTCGGAACAACCTTGCCTTTAACTGTGAGAACGCATCTAGCACGACATAGTTTAGAACAATCCTTTCAGACTTGCCCCATGAATCATTCGCTAGACGCCAGAATGTTGGAATACTCTCATGACTATGTGCATTTCTTCATAAGTAAGTAAATTAGAAAAACTCTGATACTATCTGAATAGGTGGCGACATGGCACAGTCCCACAGCTCTTCTAACGATGTTATATTTATCTTACACCACAGCATGATAGATTTGATCTTTGAGACGTGGCGACAAAATAAACAGGTCGAAATATTTGATATATCCTTCATAAAAATCAGTTTAGACGAGAGAGGAACGCCAGACTCAATATCCCGCCTCAGATCCGAAATGCTTCCCGGCTTGGCATTTTATTGATAGCAAAATGCCTCTATTAAACGTAAGAGAAATGTTTGTAGCGAGTCTAAAATACAGGATATTGTAGCCTTTCACCAATAAAGACGCTCTTTCCAACGGATATACCGATGAAATGTACGAATTTGCGCCCCGCCCTAGGTGTAATAAAATGAATATGGACTGCGGATCAGAGTGAATTTAGTACTTTTCGACTCGATAAAGGAGCTCTTTTTTAGGTATCTCTTCTGCGGGTATGTGGACAAAGAACCCCAATGTATGAGCAAAGTGAAACTAGGCGGAAGTTGTGTTGGTTACGAAGGAACCGACATTTGCTACAGAGCTGATTGCGTTAAAGGAAAGTGCACCAGATCGAAAGTACGACAGGGAGGTGATCCTCTTGAACTTAATTTATTTAAAAAACCTGAGAGTAATCTCTTGATGTAATACAGATTCGTTTATTCGAAATAAACAATGCCAACAATATGAATAATTTCACTACAACAAGTAACGAAAACAGTGTAACAAGTCGAATACAAATATTCCCAAAATAACAACAACTATCAACAGGTGGAAACAAATTATTCTTCATCTTCATCGTCATCTTCATCCTTGACTTTCTTATCTTTCTTTTTCTTATCCTTCTTCTTTTTCTCTTTTGGAACCTCCTCTTCCTCTTCTTCTGCGACTTCAGTCTTAGCCTTCTTGGGTTGAGGCTTCTCATCTTCATCATCGTCTTCAAAGCGATGCTTCTTGGCTTTAGGAGCATCATTAGACTCGTCATAACCAAATGTTTCACTAAATAGAACATATATATGATAACATTTAGTTCAAGTTACCTCTTGAAATTATATTTCTCGTGTTTGTGAGCATAACCTCCGACCTTCTTGGGTCCTCTTTCCATTTCACTCTTCAAGATAGATTCAAGAGCAGCTCTGCATTCTAATCCGACTTCAGCGGCCTTGGATTCATCAGAAAGAGCGTCAATACGGGTAGCCAAAGCACATTTAGCAGCAAGCTTTCTGGCCATCTATATCATTAATTAATATTTTGCTCGCTTTAGTGAATACCCACCTTTCCTTTCAATTTGGCAGGAGCTTGAGTAACGATTTGAGCGTGGTAGATGAGACCATATTTAGGAGTATCTTTTTTACTCTTGAGAGCACGGAACAAAGCCTGTAAAGAAAGATATTATATTGTCCACAAGATTTGATAGAAAAAATGTTGAAACTCAGGTAAAATACCTAACAGTTTACAACCACTAATCAAATCCTAACGGTAATTATAATCATGGAAGGAAAATAAAGTCAACATGTGACTAATACTAGCCTTCTCAGCTCCAAGGATCTGAACTGTGGAAGCGGGAGCCTTTGCTAAAGAGACGAGAGATCCGGCGTGGGAGATAAGACGAGCTCCGACCAATTCTCCGAGAAGACAAGTTAGGTTAGGAGCGAGAGCGTTCATTCTGTTCTTCAAGTAATCGAAGAGTTGAGTTCTGAAAAAAACTCATTAACCACAGGCTCATAAATTAATCCGTTTACCTGTATTGTGTCAATTCAATAACTTGATCACAGAGACCAGTGATATGAATCAAATCAATTTCTGAGATATCAGTACCCATAGAAATTTCAGCCTCTTCCTTAAGTCTGGTTTCGAGTTCTTCAGGAAGAATTTCAGAGAGATCAGTGTTGATTGCGTTTTGACGCATACCGATGGCTCTAATAACCTAAATCAAGCCATACAAGCGTATACAGAGACAAAAAATATACCTTGGCGAAAGCCATATGATCTTGGATTATTTTTCCAAGCTCGGGGAAATGCCATCCGTACCACTCTCTGCATCTCATAACATAGTTGTTCAACTCTTTGTCTAAATCATCAAGAAGCGAAACAGCCTATAATAAAATGCATGACAAGAAGGATAACTATTATAACAAACCTGGACGATCATGGTGTCGATCTTTTCTGGGTTGAATTTAACTTTGTATCTTCCCAAGGAGTGAGCAACAGCAAGATTCATAGCATTCATCTCAGTTTTGTGTTCACCAAGAAGAGAATCAACGTGAGTTCTGATTCCTCTCATCAACTCGCTAATTCCAGCATTGTGAACGCAGCTAACCTCTAGCTTTTCCTATAGAAAAATGTAATATAGATGAAATGGAATACAAATTTACCTTGATTAAATTTCCTAGCTTAGCATCTCCTACGGCAAGATTCTCGCCATCTTCAACACTAGTCTTAATCAACTTTTTCAAAGTTTTGTTGACTTTTCCTTCAAAGATAGAAGTATTGGCTTCGACTGCTTCAGCAGTATTCTTGAATTTTTTGAAAGAGATCAACTGCAGTCTATAATTTTTCTATTTAAACTCAAAGATTGAATTGATTCCATACTGTTCTTGAGCCTTTTTAGCTGTGGAAAATTCATCCCAGATATTATCTACATTTTTTAGCTTTTTCTCATCATTAACTTTGAATATAGCATAGCCTGCTCCGGTTTCATACAAGACGAGCATTTCCTAAATTTGAATAAATTATATGAGGGGGAAATCCTTTTTTATCGGAAGTATGAGAATTTCTTCGAAAAAACAGACAAATAAAATCAATTTAATCAAATCAAAGTACAACAACAATAACTCTCTAAATAGACACGCCTTCATTACGTTTAATACTCAGCCTAACTTTTCGAGACCAAATTATGTACGCAGCCACATGCAACGGAGAAATATAAGCGTCGCGTTGAGACCTTTGCTGATAGCATCCTTTAAAAGAACGCGAAGAGAACTGTGGTTGAGCAGTATACTATCCGTCATTCTCAAAGCTCGAAAGCTGGATGTTGATCACGCTCATTCTTCAATTGAAACCTTATTCATAAGAGGAATAAATGTTTTTAAGAAAAATACATAGAGAAAAACTTTTTTCAGTTACGACATTAATGGCCAACGACCATTTTGGCATGTTATGAGAGAAATTTATTTGCAACAAGAAACTATTATAAAGTTATAAGAAACCTTAATATCTCATTGAACTTATTTCTTCTGATTAACGCAACTTTTCTTAAGTTTTGTCTGTTTTGAAGCCATATTCTCTACTGAGGGTGGGGCCCGTCCGTCCGTCCGTTTGCTATCGATTGTGGTGCACCCCCGCCAATACACACATGTCACTCTCTCTTTCTACTAGAACGACCCTGGACATAAAGTTCCTTCGGTGATTTTAGACCAACTTTCTGCCAACATCTGCTATTAATATAAAGATTTTAACTTTAAAGTTTGTAATCCACCACTTCTGCACTAATATCACTCACTTTTCACTTTATTGAGTATGAATTATCAGTCAATATGATGTTTTCTTAAGAAGTTTTCATCTTCTTTCTCGTCGTTTTAATGTTGAAACTATCTCGTGTGGGATATTGATTGTTTGTTTCTTCCTGATGATCCTGTCTTTTTATTTAGTTTGTATTTGGCCTAGTATCGACGACCATAAGCAGTTTGACGCCTTTGTCTTCACCCCAATCATCTTGTTTGACATCCAATTTGTTCCTAAAATCTTGTTCTAAAGCAACAATCGCGTTAAAAATATGTAAATTTCCTATATTAGGTAATGCAATGCTGTCATTTGAACTCAAAATTGACGTAATGTGATTCAGTATGTTGCTCTTGAAATTTGATCCATGAATTTAAAAACTTCTCATTTGTTTCACTACACTTGTGAACTGGATACTTGTCAGCATTTCTCCTTAATTGTCTGCTAATCAAGGTTTATCAAGTTCTGTTGTAGAACGAGTAGAAATGCGAACTAAAGAAAGTGTTTTGAGTTTCTCGTACTTCGCTATCGCTTTTTCAAGGTCAAATCGTTGATATTACCTTGGCCTGTTATCAATTTATAATTATACATTTTGATGATATGTTTTTCCTGAAGTTCCACGCTTATTTCCCATACAAGTTGCTCTTGTTTCTTGTGAACATTGCCTCTTCTTCTTAGCAAATCGATCGCTCTCACAACATCTTCTGATTTTTAATATTTCCAGAGAATGTCCATATCGGGTCATTTGAGTGACACTACTGGCCCACCTAGTACCTCATTAGGCTTCGATGCTCGCAATTTGGAAATTAAAACCAATTCTATAGAGAGGACTTTGATACCTTTAGTTTCTCAGGTGAGATTTGCTCTTTTAGAGCCTTTTAATTATGTTTTGGTGGAATATTTGAAGCAGAAACTTCCTTCGTAGTACTTTGAGTTAACCAAATGCTTTTTTTGTTCTTTACGACTTGAATTTATTTCTATGCATACGGAAAAAATAATTGTTAAGCGGACTAAATGTTGTCTCATTCATGTTCCGTTTACAAAAAGCATTCATACAAATTTGTCCATATTTGGACTGATGCTCAGCTGAGCAACATCATCTAGCCAGCTTTTGTCTGTCTTAATTAGCCAATGAAAAGCAATGTTCCGACAAAGACTAATCCAAATCCAGGGCCTGTGGTCTTCCTTCTCTGCACTACACTCGAAACCTAAATTCAGTTACATTTTTGAATATTTTTTTCCTTTTATGGACATTACAGCAACTAACATCTTGTCTGTTCTTCTTTCTAATTTAAATGAAGATTTAACAGGTTTCAGACTAGCAAATTGTTCTCAAATTTCATTTCCTCTCCTTCTTTTCATCTCTTAAGTTTTACCACAACTACTGATGAACAGCCCTGTTAGCTTACTTCGATGGCGAGCAGTTGCCATCGATGTTATCGAAAATTCAAAAATTTGGAGTTTTGACCTCAACTTGAACAATCTTCCTGAGAGAATACAAGATCATTAAGGTTTTATATTCTTGTTTTGTTACATCTTGTTTGTAAATACTTTAGTCTCGTTCAATAAGTGGAAGACATTAATGAGAGATTTGCTTCTGGTGGGATGTATGTAACATCATCCAAACCGTTTTTCTCACAAAACAGCAATATCTAGAAAAGCGGATGTCATTTTCTTGGAAGCTGTTCTATGACATGGGTTCTTGATACTTCAAAAGAAACAATAGTAACGAGTAGCAACTCAGAGAGTCTCTTGCTTCCATATTTGTCATCAAAGTATGTTAAATAGGCTATTATAGAGAGGAAAAAGGAGAAAGGCGTGTTTGAAACATCAACATTCACCTTCTTTGAGAAACTGTCAACTCTCTCCCATTTTTTGCAGCGAATCGTTTATCATCTTCGAAACCAAAAGCGAAAACCATTTTTCTTCCATTTTTCTCAAAAATTTTCTTTTTTTTTTGTTATTTCTTGAGCGTGCATTATCTTTCAGCTTCATCATTTTATGTGCATATTGAGAAGGATCATTGAAAGTCCAAATTAGCATTCGGCTATTTTGATTCATTACTCCATCATCAAGTCTTTTATACCATTTTCCTGCCATCATCTTCAAATCTTTCACAATATACTATGAACCATAAGCTCACATCATCCTCTTCCTCTAAGGATTTTCGAGTGACTCTCGCCTTTCACAAATATGTTTTTGTCTTATTTTTCGTCTTGTTTCCATGTCATTTTAGTTTTTTTCTTAATTTAGTGCCTTTTTGCTTCTGCACGAAGATATTTTGCAAATGAATTCTATGGCGTCTTCGTCATCAATCTCACCACTTTCCATGTACAACAGTTCTGGTTGTGGTCGATACAACTTCACTAGACGACAACGGTCCACAAGTATTCCAGCTTTCTATGGTCGTCACAACATAGTTGCTAATAATGTAATTCCTATATCCAGACAACAGTTTCCCTCACGCCCTAACGGTGATATGAAATCGCCATTACATTTTCCTCCCCACATTGTTTCACACCCGACTAGATTAGTTTCTTCACATTCTTCTTGGGCCTTGCGCACAGCGTCACCCGATACCCGAATGTACAAATGTGGAAGACTGACTAGCTCCCAATTTCTAACCTTTTCGGAAATAAGTTTGGGAGATGCTGAACGTCTCATAAATGCCACAAGAAATGTTTCTGCTTCAAACATTCTTGATATAAATTGGCGTAACCTCGGTCGTGAGTTGCAGATTACAACATTAGTCAACTTCAAGGAAAGTTATCTACACAATGGAAAACCCAAGTCGGAGCGGGCCCTTCGAGCGGCACTGAAAGTAATTGAAAACTTCCAGACGAAAGAACATTGAATATTTAGGTTGGCAGTGCAGTAGAGGCAGCAATAGAACGATTTGTGGCCGTAGGAGAAACAATAGCTGATGAGAATCCAGATATACAGCCGGAAATGTTTGACGCTTGCCATGAAGCCAGGCTAGCTGGTGAGTTTTGGATGTTTACTTTTCAGTAGCCATTAAGGATACATGTATCATTGCATCTTTCTCATCATATGGCCATCTTAAGTCTCATCCGTTTTCATCTTCTAAGCTTTTGGTAATTGGAGATCTTCTAATGCAAAATTCAAAAACAGAATGGCTGATTCCATTCATATATCTGTTTTTCACATTATATTTGGATATCTTGCAATCGATTTTGGTAAAATTGCACCTCAAATGACCCCATTTTAGCTGTTTTCTCCTCCCCCTCCTCCGAGCCAAAAATGGAAGCATTCAGAAGCAAAAAGAAGTTCAGTTCACAAAATTCAGTTTATTCGAATCCATTTAGCAGATTAAATGTTTTTTTCCATTTAAGGGAAAGAGTTTCAAGACACGTGGGGCTCAACTGGAAGTACTAATGAATATTATTGTTTTAATTACGAGAAGACTAAATTGAGTGAATGGGCAAGCTAAAGGAACAGAAACTTTCTTATGAGAAAGATGAACAGAAGCGAATAAGTATTTGCCATCTTGAAGCTTTTCCAGCGTTGTAAAACGGAAAGTATGGCTGAGGGTGACAACGTATATTCAGCTTTCTCTCATTCTTCATTTCTTTAAATTTTGTGAGAGAGAGAGAGATCAGAGTTTCTCCATACCATCTAAAACATCAGTTGTCTGTCTTCTCTTCTTTTAACCACCTATTCTATTCTCAATATTTCTCGAGTTCTCTCTCTACCCCTCTCAAATTTGAGCACTATCTTTGCTCCAGTTGGTTTCTCTGCCATATCCTTAGTCTCTTCTTAACAATGAGATTCATTTTTCATTTTATCAATGACACCTCAAATTAAAGCAATAACGTTTGAGGTTCTGTGTACTTTGGCTAATGAATAACCCTTTCTACATCGACGGGGAGGTGATATATTTCCAAGTGCACCTGGTTCGAACTCTTGAGTTAATTAGCATACTTCACACGCACACGTTTCAATTACGTGGGAATGCGGTTACACATTCATTTTTTAGTAAACTTGATGGCTGCACGGTCGTTACTTTCCAAATTTCAAGTATCCTCCACCAATGAACTTTTTTCAGGCTCTTCAATTGCTAACCTTTCTTGCTGTTCTTCCACTGAAGATGCTCCCCTCTTGGATAAAGCTGTACTTGTACGAGCAAGCAGACAACTCCTCAGTTCTGTTACACGGGTTCTTCTGTTGGCGGACAGAGTGATGGTAAAAGAAATTCTACGGGCGGAAGATAAGGTATGAATGTTTTAATACTGCGTTTGAACTCATTGAACTCTTCTTCCTCATATCCTCATATCCTCACATGATCTTTGTTTCGTGTTTGGTGTCCTTGGCAATATGAAAGTAAAGGTGTCGTCAAGGAACATCATAGAGCAAGGATCGAGAAATGACTTTTGAAGAACATAAACGTGTTTGAGTATGAATTATTCTGAAAACTAAAAGAGGGATCTACAATATCATAACCTTAACGCTTATAGGTAGCCTATTCTCTCAGTCGACTTGAGGCAACTCGTGATTTTACTGAATTCGTAAAAATATTTGCCGAGTTTGGTGGAGAGATGGTCGACTTAGCACACAGATCTGGAGATAGGTATGAGAATTGCTTCAAAAAATGATAGTTAATGTTGATATGTTAAGGCAACATGACTTGAAGAGTGAGAAGAGAAGAGCACAGATGTCAATCGCTCGTACATTGCTTGAACGGCTTACTATGCTTTTGCTTACATCGTCTAAAACACTGCTACGTCATCCTGATTTGGATTCAGCTCTTCAATGTCGCGATGGCGTTTTTGATCAAATCCGAATCGCATTGCAACTCATCAGCATTTGCGTATGTGATGGCGTTTTCCCAATGGAATCAGCTCGTTATGCTCAATCTACTAGTGATGAACCTCTAGATATTGGTATCCAGTTGACTGCTTCAGCTGCTACAAGACAACTAACTGTGAGTGTTATGGTAACATAATTGTGAATACATATATGAGTATTAGGAAATGCTTGAGATGGTGCGAATGACTTCTAGAGTAGGAGTTGGAGTTCGGGAACGTTTAATTTCGGCTTTGGATGCTCTTTGTGAAATGACCCAAGACTTCACAGATTCGGCGTATACACCTCATCACCATCGTGAACAAGTTCTTGATTTCTTAGAAGAATGTAGATTTGAAATGACTAACCTCATACAACCAGAGGTAAATCAGATCAAAAGATTGTTGTTAATCGTTTTTTTTTCAAGGATAACACTGATGCGATTCGCACGGATGGTTTAGATGTCACAGTTGAACGTCTTAATCGTCGTTTGAAAGACTTGTCGAAGCAATTGCAAATAGTAGCTATGGATCAAGTAATAATCCATATCATAATTTTATATTATATGAGATAATTAAGCTGGCTGAAGTGTTGAGGACCAATGAAGACCAAGTTTTAATGTCATCTATAAAGGCTTGTGCCGTTTCTGGAGATATTGATGGAGTTGAGAAGTATTTGGATAAATTCAGAGAGCATGCGGAGCATATGCAAGAAGTATAGTATCTATTTAAATTTCAGAGAAAATTTATGTCATTTTAGGTTAGTCGACTGCTACACCACATTTCAATAACTGATGCCTTGCATGTTATGACTGGTCATTGCGAACGAAATATGCGCCATTTAGCCCCTTTGGTTAGTTTTAAAATTTTCTCTCAACAATCAGCTGTCTCAAGAAGAAAATGAAAGAATAATTTATGTTTTCTTTCTACAGGCCTTATTAGCTGGAAGGACGCTATGTGTACACCCCTCTAGTCGAATAGCCCGTGAGAATTTAGAAGTATTTTGTGATACTTGGGGACAATGCGTATGTTCTGTTTTTGGCTCTCGAAACTTACTTGAGCTTTCAGATAAATGATCTATCACGTTTATCAAAGGAGGCAGATGCAGCATTAAATGGACGTTTAGCTGCTGAGAAGCAAGCATATATGTCTCTTCCTAGACCAGGGGTGAGCACAATGATATCTGGTCTCCCAGCATCACGGAAGACTAGCAGCTGTAGTAGTACTTCTTCATCATTACGTTTGATTAACAATAATGGGTCAACTATCATTTCACCAATCGGTCCATTATCAACCCATTCTAGAGGATCTTCAAGACCACGGCTTTTTGATCGTAGTTTTGAATCCCAAACTAGAATGACAACCTTATACGGTGATGATGAAAGTACTACTAGCAGTTGTAGCTTCAGCCAACCTGATGATGCTGAAATTAATCCCCTAAACCCCCCTGATATTAACTATCGTCAATCACGTCATCATAATCGTCGTGAATCATTAGAAAATGGTAACTACAGGCGTTCTCCGGTTATTCTAGATAATCGTAAAGCACTTGACGTTCATGCTGCGAACGGGAACATTCTGACACCCTACGGAGCTACAGTCATGCAGCAAACAGGAGATGAGCTGAGTGTCTGTTCTACCACAAACAGCGATGAGAAGAGGCAGTTCGAATATCGAATAAGTCTCATTCTCGATGACTTACAACGCATAACCATGAACTAATGAAGATGATTATGATGATGATGATGAAGATGATAACTGTTTTTGTGATTTGTGCTGTGCTCTGATATTATATTTTCAAAAAAACTGAATTGGATATGGAAGATAGGATTCTTGTGTGGAATATCTTTCAGGGTTAGCTAACCAAAGCATGTGGTGCTCTTTTCTTAATTTGTTCATATAGTTCATGATTAGTTTGTTGTGTGGATTTTATATTTGGTTGTGTGGTCTTTATTCTTTTCATTCCTATCATATCTCCTGCCATAATATCTCAACCGTCAATGGTGCTGACTACTTATATGGACATTTCACTTAATATTATCCTGGATATACAATAAACTGTTACTTTTTGCATGGTGTGTTTTGTGCTGTTCTTGTGCATGGCTTCTCTATGAATCTCCTATCGCTCCCCTCCTACTGACTTATTGGAACCGGGTGACAAAACTTAATTTTTCAGAAACATGGAACCACGCATAAACCATCAAAACCAATCACTCTGGATGTTGAAGTAATTTTATTTTGTTTTTCTTATGTACTGTACACATTTCGTCATAGGACCAACAAAAAATGGCCAAAGTTGGGCTCGAGATGAAGCTTCTGACTTCTGAAGTCGATGCGGAAGCAGAGAAATGGGACGAGTACGCAGAAAATGATATCGTTAAGAGAGCAAAGGTGTCAAAACATACAAAGTTGATTGTTGATCTGATGTTCTCAGGCAATGTCTTCTATGGCTTACAACATGTACTTGTTCACTAGAGGAGATGGTCCTTTGAAAACGACCCACGATCTCTTTACTCAGGCAGAATTTTTCGCTGAACAAGCTAATAAAATGTATAAAACAGTTCGAGAATTCAGCTATGAGGTAAATAACCTTAAATGCTTCTGAAGTCTTTGTTTGATTTTTAGGTTCCTGGATCAGCGGAGAAGAGTGAGCTATCTGCCATTCTAGAAAGAATCCCTGTGCATTGTCAGCAGCTACAGGTTATGGTGAAAAGTCCAACAGTTGGCAAGACTGCCACATTCGGAAAAGTATGATATTGAAGTACATAAGATGAACGAACTGGTATACTTGTAGGTGGATTCTGTAATACAAGAAACGAAGAATCTTATGAACGAAATTGCCAAGCTAGTGACTGCCTCTTTCGTCTGCGCAACTAAGGTTTGTTTAAATTTTATTTTCAATACTATTTGTATATCTAATATACATTTATGTGTTTTAAAAATAACCTTATGTTTAAATAACACAATTACCATCTCTCAATTGTTTTCAGTTTGATAAAGTCGAAATGTAAGTTTATGTGATTGATAAATCACTTGTGAATAGTCTGCACAGTCAGCTAGTTTTACCTTATTGTATATGGGTTTACACAATTTCGAAGCACTTAAATTAAAAGAAATTCAAGAATTTGTTCGTTTGAATGCATTTCGTTGTCACACTTTGAAGTTTTCATTTCATTGTTAGTTCTTAGAGATTTGTTTTTATCCCTTAGTCAGTATAGTGAGACTATCGTTCGTCTCGTTTGTCTAGTTGAAACAGCTTAACTGTGAAACTGTTCTAAGTCTTGGTCTTAATCACCTTCGAAATTACCTTCAGAAGCACTATAACTATTAAACCGTGTTATGATTATCGTTTTTTTCAGTACGAAATCGAATTCCGAGGCGGGTCGGTCCCTCGCGGCGATCCTGAATCGCAATCGCGGGCGAGCCGCGACTCCTCCTTGTGGAGACGTACTCCCAGTATTCGCCGTACCGCCCAAGCAAGTCCCGCTCTCTTCTGCTCCAACAACTTATAGGTTAGTTTCATTTCAAACAAGTTCTTAACCTCAACAAACATTCACACTCAATCCCATTTGATTTTCTAAATATCCTACTCAACACCTACACACACACCTATCCAACCACAAATTCTCTTTTTACAATACCTGGGTACTTTTATGGGAATAAAAAACCTGTTTTAATTGTGCAGATAATCTTTTGCCGTGACGGGTATGGGTATAAATCCTATTTATTAGGATATGTTGAACATTTAGGAAAAGAAAATGGCTTTTTGCAATGCCTCGTCGTGGAAAACTTTAGAAAACAATAAGTAGAAAAGCAAATTAGAAGAAAACAAAACAAATCAATAAGCATATAATTAAAAATTTTTCTTTTTCAGTAAAATAATTAAAGGATTATAGTAGGACAGAATAGAAAGTAAGTCTAACTATAGCATATATGTAATTATGAGCTTATAACTATTACAGAATGATGACTATTCAACAGCTCAACATGTGATGAAGCAGTTTCGAGAAAAATGACAAAACATTGTTTTTTATTTAGCAAAAACAATATGTTTTTGAATGATAATTTGCTCCATTCGTAACTTAACCCAAATATTGATCTCTGTGAAAGAATAGAAAACATAGAGCACATACTATATAGTTAATGAGAAACTTCGTTTTAGAAAAATGAATTAAAAATATCTTCTTTTTAATTTTTATATTATAAAGTTTTAATGTAACAGGTCCAAATGTATTTTTCCAATATTGATTGTACTGATTTGTATATTCTAATTTGCCACCACGTCACGCCTTAGTGAGGATTTAGCTTATACGTAAATCCAATCGTTCATTGTAATTGCTCAGTACGCAATGAACGGTTGTGCTTTTTCACCTTTAATCTAGCTCATGTAATGATTTTCGTTTGAAAATGATTATTATATTTCCTCTTTTTCCTACATGTTCACTACCAATATAAAACTTATATGAATCAAATGTTTAATCGGTTATTAAGCTTTGTTTGAGCTTGAAAGAATAATTTTACACAATTTTTGAATAGTTTTATACATTTGATATTAATATCAACAGATAACTGTTAATGTACTTCTAAATATATTATGAATTTCTCATGTTATGAGAACTACTAAGCCATTATTTGATATTAAAATCAATGGATATGTTAACCCGTCATTTTGGAAATTTTCCTGAAGGAGAGAACCTTCAAGTTAAAGAGACTTTAAAGGAAGCTGAAGAGTGATGCAAATACAGACCGTTCCGGTCTTTCGTATTCAGCCATTCGTCGTCTTCTTCTTTGAGAAACTTTTCTACGTAACAGACGTAATCTTCTCGCAACCTGAGAGTTTCATAATGTACAAAATGAGAACAACTGAGTAATCTAACCGCCATGAAGTCGTCCGCCTTATTCAGTTCGTTAACTATGATGTCATTCGGTGGTTGAGCACCTGGAGGAGCCATGACACTCGGCGGTTTCGAAGCTAGTGGTTGAGCAGCAGGTGGAATGGCTGATGGTGGGCCACGTGGCTCTGAATATAATAATTTTGAGGATTACTTAAGCTATAGTAACCATTGATAAGATTCTCTTCAATCTCATTTACAATCCTTTCCGCACTTTGATCGGTGGATGGATGCTGTTGTACGCGTGGAGGAGCGATAGGTCCTCTACTGGTCTATATTTATATCAGATAAATGAACGGTAGTTGAATGTAACCGGAAAGAAGAAAGATGGGATAGAGTGACTTACAGAAGGTGAAAAAGTGCTAGAAGGAAGGAGAGAAGTTGTGATTGCTACACTTGGACCTGATGATGCTGAAAGTGAAGGTGACATTGATAAAGTCGCTTGGGCGATCGTTGTCGTGATTGGAGAAGTTTTTGTGAAGAAGTCTTCAGATGTTGATGATATTTCCGTCTGAGTAGTTGTAGTTGATGGAACAGTTTTTGTAACTATTGGCTCAGCTGCTGCAGTCACTGGTTCGGTTGCAGTGGGCGGAATGGTTATCAGTGTTTCAGTCATTGTTGGAGTCACGGTTGTGGTCGTCGTTGAGGTTCTGGTAGAAGTAGTCGTTGACTCCGTAGTGGGCGCCATAGTTGTCGTCATTAATGTTGTCGCTGGAGGGGCAGCTGTGTTTGTAGTTTCAGCCGAAGTAGCAATTGGAGCGATAGTTATAGGAGAAACAGTTGGAAGCACAGGTTTCTGAGATGTAGAAAGTTCTATTTCTAAGTCTGACAGTGTTTCTATGGGTGGTGTGCTTGAAAATTCGATAGAGGCTAGAGTAGAGGAGAGAGTTTGTTCTGTGTTGCTCTCCGATGAAGACTGTAGAAAGAAAAAAAATAAAGAAAAAGAGGAAAGGAAAGTGTGTAAAAAAGTTGCAAACTTACTATAATGAACGGTTTTCTGGTTGCATCTGTAAGCTATAAACGATATGGTGTTAATTTGATTATGCGATTCACATACTTCTAATGGCAGAACAACAGGTGATGCAGTGGTTGATGGTCGTCTCTTCCTGAACTTTCTAACCGTTCCATTTCGGTTACGGATTCTCTCGATATCTCCAATTAAAATCTGAAAGTAACAAATCATATAGTTAGGATAGAACGTGCGTGTAAGTCATGCTGTGCTTTGAGCACTCCAAGTTCATCACTTATCTGACTTACAGTATGTTTATTGGGAATTCTAGATCGAAGACGTGTAGAGAATCGATCTGAAACAATGAAGATAAGCTGGTATAAAGCTTATGACGGAAACCTTTCTCGTTCAGGATCAGTTGGAAGCCAAGAGTAGTTGAAGGTGAGGAGGTGGTTGTCGTAGTAGTAGGTGTTGTTGTTGTTGTTGTTGTTGTGGTAGTGGTAGTTGTAGATGTTTTCTGTTGCTCTTCTACTTTTATCTTTTCCAGTTCTAATTCTGAATTAATCTTATCTGCAAGATCAGAGAATAAGTGGGAAACCTCGAACAGCCTTGAGAACTGCAAACTCAATTTCGCGTTCACGTGAAGCTAAATGTTGTCTGTCCTGACCTTGTTGTGGAACTTAAAACATAAAAAATGTCAAATGGTTTTTGAATAATTTGGAAACCTCGTTGTTTAGCCGGTTTGACAATAATGTTGTTATCAGTTACATTGAGATTTCTTGCTAAGAATCTAAAGAAGAGCATATAGATGATGTCATATGGAAGACATGAAGCTGTTAATTAGTAATTTAAAAATTGATAACAGTTAGATAACCATGCAAAATAGTTAGTAAATTGTATGAATTATTGGTTGCAAAGCTTTTTGAGATTTGATTTTCGTTTTTTCGATTTGTATTTCTCTCGTTTTCGTTAGAAAATTAGTAACAACCTGTTATTACTGGTGCTAGGTTGAAGTGTTAATCTATCGTTAGTTGCCAGTTTTTTTCCGTTTGTTTCCTGAAATGCTGAAGACGTTGCTTCAGCTGATCCAGCAACAAGCTTCGTTGCGTTGGGAAGCTTTTGGAATAGACGAGATCTTAGCTTTTTTCGAACTGTTAACCAGGGATCTGAACTGTGTTTAGCTGTGCTAATTGTTCGAGATGATGTGGTTGAGGAAATTTTTTTCCGACTTGTGGTATTATCGTGAATTAGACGTCGACGATTTAGAGCTGTTGAAGGATTGAATTGTTGGCCGAAGCCTAAGGTACTAGGACCTGGTGTAATGAAATTACGTGAAGGTGATTGCACGAATGAATTTCCAAAGCCAATAGGAAATTGTTGTCGATTAGTAGATTTAAGAGGTATGAATGAGGATTCGGACCTTTGTAGTGTATGATCTTGAATACGATGGCTAATCTGCTTAGGAATACGTACATTCAGACGTCGAGAATGACCAGATGATCTGAAGAGAATAAGTGTTTAGTGGAGATAGGATATTAAGAGTTGTTACCGCAATGGTTTCGTTTGTTCATCATCTTCTGGAATTTCTCGACGAGTGATGCCAACAGAACGATGAGGGGCTGGTGGGTTACTTGGGAGAGATGATAAGAAGGAAGCAACATCCAAGCTAGTTATGATTTCCTAAGATTCAACAGAACTATTTTCGACAATTGAGCTGAGTAACAAACATCTTCAGCACTGAGCTTCACACAACAATATGAGATGAATATCATGAAAAACGACGACCGTCTCATCCTGTAAAGATAAAACTATTGTAAAATGAAATGAAGACTATGAATTGGAATTCGTGTTTTCCACACTGGAACCGGAGAGAAGAAAAAAACGGAATCAGAATGACCGACGTCGACAACGAGACAAATGATATGAAAATGGACATTTAAGAAGTTCTGTACGAGACGATTCGTCTTCTTTTTTTTTTTTTCAAATCTTCAAAATAGAAGAAAAGGCGGCGAAGAAGCTTCTAATCAAAGGTTAAATGCTGTATGGCTTCTCGCAGACATTTCAGTTTTCACTTGCCATTGTTTCATAAAACTTTCTATCATTTTGGTTGAAACTTCATATGGACATTATGAATAATGAGAAAGAAACTTGAAGACTTTATATGGATAAACTCATTTGAAATAATGGATAAAAACCCCTTTTCACCTCATTCTCCTCCATCTCACAGACACCTCATTCGCATTTGTGTGTTAATAGTGCTAATGCTGCTAGAGAGGAGGAGGGGGAAGTGGGAACGTGACGGGGAGAAAGTCACACAGATACCAGATATACATAATCAAAGGAGGAATGAAAGATAAATTAAATTGATTAAGAAATAAAAGTGCAATTTTATATTAAAAAGAAAAAAAATGGGAGATGAGTGTGAAATGTAGAAGAATACAGATGAATTAATTCATATACCTGTTTAAGAGCTTATAATGGTCATTCAGAGATCTTAAAAGCAATCGAAATCTTTAAAGAAGTTGTCAGAAAGAGAAACAGATGATGACACTTGAAAATAAGCAAAAAAAGAAAGTATTTTAATTAAAAAATGGAAATAAATATGTGAGAATAGGTGGGAAGGGAAGATAGGTGGGGGGGGGAGGGCAGAGAGGGAGTAACTGCTGTTTGAAAGAACTTTCATGGACATTTCGCTATGGAAAAAGAAGTTTTAGTTTGGAAAAATAAAAAAAAGTGAAGAAGAAAGAGAAACTACTTGAACCAGCCATTCATCACGTAATATTGACCATAAATGTATTCAAACAAACATCTGAAAGGTATGACCGTGCGAGGAAGAGAAGGTATTTTGATAATCATCCTCTCTCGATAGCTACAAAATAGAGAGAAAGTATGAGAGAGGACGACTTGAGAGAGGTACGAGAGGGAACTGAAAGAGAGTGCTAATTATTCCAAGAATACCATTCACTCTATGATGTTGTTTGTTTCTAAGCATTATGAATAAATATATTTATATATATAGAAAGAAAGAATATGATGAGAGAATAGAAGAGAATAAGCCTTCTTAACAACAATCTTGTAGCTTTTACATTCTTTTTCCGGCAGCTTTATGAGTCTAAATTAGAAGCGAAAGCCATTGAACATAACGGTCTCATCTGAAACGACGAAAACCGGTCAGATGTCCTGTCTGGACAATCTCACTATAAGAAGAGGAAGGAGGAGCATGAAGCATTGTTTCACCTGATGAAAAAGGTCATGATCTCGGGAAACAATGACATAATATGAATTTGTTATTAAACAACAAATTAAAATCGAAAAAAATGCGGGAGAAGCTTAGAAGATAGAAAAGACAGGTATGCAATGAACTAAATGGGAGGAAGAATGGAAAAGCGGAACATTTTCCTTCTTTCACTTAAGCTCCAATAAGTCGTTCAGATGTTTCTATGGAAGTGATATACTCATGTGATTATTGTCTGGAAAATTTCAAGTGCTTAGTCAAAAGATGACGGATGGCAAGGAATTTGAGAGCGAAAGTCTATCTAATTGGCAAAAACCTGATTGAAGGCTTAGATAGGATGGCACATGAGCGCAGGGTGATCAAGCTTATCGACAAGCCTTCCGTAGGTGATCATCGATAATGATTAAGCCAGTGATGTGTTTCTTTTGCAACTTAGAAGATAAATCTTGGGTGGCTTGACGAAAGAGAAAGGCAGAAGGCGATAAATGAAAGCGAATGAAGGTGAAAGACAGGGGAAGCGCAGGAAGATAAGATAACAAATTCTATCAACAAAAAAAAAGAAGAAAAACGGAAAGCTTAGAAGGCCATACGAAGTTCATAAGCCATCGTTAGATCACTAGGATGAGATGTAGAGCGTAACAGAAGCTGTCGAAAGTACGCTAATCAAGGACATCGAGATCTTAGAGAGACTTTAGCTTTCATTGCACTTTTACCAAGTATTCGTACAAGATAAAGATCATCGTTGATTTGAAGAATTCAGAAGGAGGAAGGAAAAAAGAAAAAATGAATTATAAGAAAACGCCTCAGGTGCTAAATGACAATCTTGAAACAGGTCCGGATAGGATGATTTGACGTTCGTTGTCCAGGCACATTAGCTCAATGTAGACTTCAATTATAATGCATCCAGGAGGAGGAAGATTCAACGTGATGATGAGAATTCCCAAAAACGATGATCGTGCAAGCGGAAAGAGTCGACCACCCGCATTCTCTTCATCAGCTTCTTGTTCTCTTCTGCATTAAATAATGTTGCGCAAATCAGAAGAAACATATAATGTGCGAAGACCTGAAGCCAAAAAAAGGAAGAAAGAAACGAAGTTCACGTGGGAACTGTACGTGGAAATGACGTGACCCGTCGGAAGAAGTTTCATTTTCGTATTGTAAACAGCATGCACCAGAACGGTTGATCACTTAAGATTCAAATGATTATTGATCATTCCATTTCCACTTTATTTATTTTTATAAAAAAAAAGATAAAAGTTTCTTTTGTTTATAATTCAAACAAGTTTATAACACCATTTTCCATATTATTTGAACTCTGAAATGAAGTTTTGATAATTAAGAAGAACGATCGGTCGTTGTATTGTTCTTTGCCATTACACAATATGATTTGAAAGAAAACGAAACTGAAGGTCAGTCGAGACTCCTCATCTGACCTGAGTCTATTGAAATAAGCAACAAGAACTTTCATCACTTTTATTTATATTGAATATAAATATTATTATTAACTTATTTCATGATAACTAGTTTCTTTGTTAAGAAGAAACATTTTTTCTTGCAAAAAACATTCATCCTTCCTCTTTTCAGACATTGAGTGAATAAACAATGGACATTCAACTAATACATTCGGACACATAAATACATTTAATCTGAAAATAAATAATAATAGCATTGGGAGATATTTTAAAAATCTCACTTCAATTGAAGATAAACACCCAAGCTTATTGTTCCGGGAAGCTTATAACGCCATGGCTCATCTGGTATCCACATATCCACCAAATCTCTCATCCACATCTTGTCTTCAACCTGCCATTACAACGTTATTAACTATCCTTTATATAGATGTCTAGATCTTTCTAACCTTTAATGATGCTATTCGCTTTGAGATTATTATTATTTTTGTGAATGTATGAGATTTAGGTGGACGATCATCAATACGCAAAATCTGAATTTTGAACTTTTGCCAATTGATCAGATGAGTAGGCGAGTAAGAAGAATCAAAAAAGAAAACCTTCTCTACCAATCGTAATTCTCCCTTAATCTTACGAAAACAATTGAGAATAGCGATGGAACATGCGAATACTTGCCCAAATCTCACATTTTGTCTGAATTTTTGTGAATAAAAATGAATAAAATATTGAAATTTACGATGGAATCTTGAGCGTCGCCACTATTTTACCATTTGGATAAGATAAATTATTTACTTTTATGGAAGAATTGAAGATATTTTGCTGAAAAAAGAAAGAGAGAGACGTTTAGAGTCAGAGAGAGAGAGAAGGAAGAGTAAAAAATAAAATAAAATAATAATAAAATGCTAACATTTGTTGAGGAAAAGCTCTTAGCATGTTCCATATAAAGTTGTTTTCGATCAGTTACAATTTCATTTTTTGTTGAAATATGTATCTATAAAAGGGAAATTATGGAGAGAGTGAGATAGAGAGAGAGTTGAAGAGAGTAGTAGAGATAGAAAGAGAAGTTATAAATATAAATATGGTAAAAGATGTTAGAGATTATGTTTTATGATGATGGTGTTAGAGAAGCAGCTAAAGACTACCAGAGAGAGAGAGAGAGAGAGACTATTCATACCTCGGTAAAGTAATTTATACTTTTTATTAATGCAAACGTATGTCCACTGTCGAAAGCTGTTGGTATGTTGATTGGAATTAGCAAACTAGTTGAATTACAGCTTGAAATTCATTTCATGCTTACCTGCTCGTTAACTGATTGCCTGAAGTTGTGGCCACAAAATCCTTAAAGGATACAAACCTGCTTGTTTCGCCTACTTTACGATAATGAATTTGCTTGAAAGTTATTTGTTAGTTAAAAATCAAGTTTTACATAATGTTTCGGATAGCCATATACCTGAGCTGAATCGTAAAACTCAACGATTCCATAAAAGCTCAACATTATCGACTTTTCAGCGAATACATTGTCTTCCTTTGTTATCAGAATGACACGAAGAAGCTCACCGGCTTTCACGGTGTTCGATAGGGGTATGAAATGAAAATTCAAGCTGACAAAAGAGGAAAGAAAGATTAAAAAGAATTAAAAATGAAGTGAAACCTTTGACTTTTCCTCATGACGGACTCAATGCAATGAACAGGAGGAAATGTCATCCATGGTCATTCATACCTCACTAACCGGATTCTCCGGTCAGAGCCATCTTCCTCACTCTCTCCTCCTCACTCTCCGATAGAGAGTGACTATGAAAGAGATTGAAGAGGTTAATTAAACAACTGGGTTATAACTATTAACAAAATTATTAGAAGAAATAAAAGACAATTTTTACTTTTCAAATATTCTTTTTTTCTTTTTTTCATTCAATTTGTGAATTGAAATGGATTTGTTCACTAACCAAATTAGGTCCATTATCTGTTTCCAGCAGTTCAGTTTTTCCCAAATATTTCAGGAAAACTAACGAATTGCTTCATTCCTTTTCCTGTTTGTCTTCAATATTATATGAGAATTTGAATAATTTTCCGTCTTTCTTCAACCGAAACTGTCTGGCAGAGAGCTGCCGTCTGCGATGTTCCCATGCAGCAGTAGCATCATCATCATCATCATCTTCCTCTCCCACCCCCCATCTCCTTCCCCCCTTCTCTCTTGGTCTGCCGTTTTTGAGCGGACATTCAGAATATAAAAAATAATGTGTCTTTTAAGCTTTTTATCTCTCTTTCTCTCTCTCTCTCTACATATCCCTCTCTCTCTTTATATACATCTCTCTGTCTCTTCAAAATTTTATGTGAAATTTGATTTATTTTTTTTGAAACAATGAAGGAGGAACTATGAAGAAAGAAGAAAAAATGTAATTTTAGTAGAGAAATGTTCCTGTTCGTAACATTAACAGCAGTCATTTTATCGCCTGAGGCCATTTGTGGTAATTGGCACAAACAGATCTCTTTGCGTATGTATACTTCATCATGAGATTGTAATATAGCAGATGATAGCTTACTCTTAACATCAATTCATATAAGCTTGTGTGTTAACAAATTTCCTTTTATGAACTTTGTCTTCAAGGCAGCTGAGTTGAGCTTCATCAAAACAATTGAAAATTAGCATATTTTGCTTTTCCAGTACACATGTACCTTCAATTCTGACAGATAATCATCGTTGTAACTTAACAAATGATTATCAACTTATAAATAGGATAATTTATTGTTTTAAGTGAAATTTGCATATTCATTACTCAAAGTTACGTGAGAACATCACGTGCGTCAACTGACGTCACTATTTGCATTCTTCATTTGGCTAAAATTAGTTGATGGAGTACGGTTGAATGAATCTCTATAGATTTTAAAATAAATAAAATCTTTTATAGAAGACGAACGAGCCAGCCAACAGTAGCAAGAGCAAGAACAGAGTTTAATTTATTTTTTTAATTGTCTCTCATCGCCTTTTTTTCTTTCTTTTTGCTTCGTCTTGCTTCTTCTTCATCTTCGTCTTCTTCGTCTTCGTCTTCTTCTTCTTCTTTTTTTTTTATTTGTCCTGAAAGGAAGTCTCTATTTTCATTCTTCTTGCTTCATTCCAGACATCTTCTTCGTTACCCTTTATAGCGTAAACGATCATTTGCGTACCTTCTATCTATTCAATCTCTCTCCCTCCCTCTCTCTCTCTCTTTATGCTTATGTCTTTCTTACTACTCTCTTTATCTCTCCCTTCTTCTCTCTCTCTCTCTATCACTCTTTCATTTTCTTCTAAAATTTTTTTTAATTTCAAATGAAAAGAAGGAGCTCCTTTTCAGCTATAACAATTTGCTTTTTTGAATACAAAAAAAAGCACATTTATAAACAGAAAATTAATCTTTTCATTCTTATTCTCTCTATATATCTCCTTCGCTCTCTCTCTCTCTCTCTAGATGTATCCCTCTCTCTCTCTCTCTCTCTCTTTAGATATCTCATCTGCTTTCATCTCTCTTTCCAAGTTCTCTTTACTCTGTATGTTTCATTAAATATTCTCTTCAGATGAATTTCTTAAAAATCTTTTGTTTCATATAAAATTTCTTTTTTAATATTTTCATTTGAAATCAATATATTTGTACTTCAAATGAACTCTTTTGGAGCAGAAAATATCTGCATTTTGAGTAATTAAAATTCGTATTTTCATTCTTCAGCTTCTTCTTGCTTCTTCTTCTTCTTCTTCTTGCTTCGGCATTTTCTTCTTCTTTTTAAAACAAAAAAAAAGAGAGAAAAAAGAAAAATAATAATTGGCTCAACTAGTATAATGAGATATGTACATATGCATACATGTATATAATCTTAATTTATATCCTAATGAAGAAGCGTCTTGGTCGTTTTCATCGTCGTCTTCGTCGTCCTTCTACTTCATCTATGTATCTCTATGCTCATCTTTCTTTCTCTTTTTCAAACAGCTTTATATGGATGTATCATTCAGCTTTTTCATCCATCCACTTCTCTCTTCAATTGAAACTTTCGTCGTTTCATTTGCCATGTACTGCCAACACACACACACACACACACACACAGCCTTCCTTTGCTTTTGCTCCAGCTTCTCCCCTCTATTTATATATATCTCCTTTTCTCTCTCTTTTTCTGGGGGTTAATCTTTTTTTCTCTCTCTCTATCCTTTTCCCTCCATCATCTCATTCACCCTCCCTCCTTCTCCTGCCTATTAGTCTGGCAATTCCGAATTCGTAGGAGATTTTTTGTTTTATCTGATTTCATTTTGGTCTCTGCAAATGGCACATAATAAGTTTCTTTTCTAATTTAATATAAATCTTCATTTTTTCTTCTTCTTCTTCTTCTTTTTTCATAAAAAAAAAAGTTAATTTTACACATTTTCTTAATGGCTTCACTGTCTTTCTGAGAGCGTAGGTGGTCAACATCATCTTTCAGCTTTTATAGCTTGATAAGAAGCCTTTTCTCCCTTTCTATGTCATTCGTTATGAAGTTTTGACAAAAAGAGAAAAAAAAGCTTTTCATTTTAAAGTTTTTATTCACAAGCTTGCAAGTTCATTGGAACGTTTTCTTTCCGGAAGTACTGGATATTCGTCGATTAACAGCATCAGATGACATGGAAGGTACTCCGCTTCTTCCCTCCTCCCATCTATAGGACTTAAAATAAAGGAAGAGAGAGAGAGACAGAGAGAGAGAGAGGGTGAAAGGAAAAGAAAAATAAGAAAGAGTTTCTCAAAGAGCTTTAGAGGTTCTACGACAATTGTGAGGTAACTAGGAAGGAAAAGGATGAAGAGAGAGGGAGAGAGAGAGGGAGAGAAAGAGAAGGATAGAATCAGAAAAAGGGCGTTCTGAGACTCTGTTAACTTCATCTTCTCTTTCATTGTCGTCTTCAGCTTCTTCTCCTTTACCAAACAACTATTTTTAAAAATTAAAATTAAATAATTAAAATAAATAAAACTTTCGTATTTCCATCGTATTTTTCTTTGTAACTTTCATTGAGAGTTCCTCATTCGTCCAGCTTTTTCCTTCCGATTGTGTGTCTTCAGCGTTGGTTTCCTTTTAAAATCTTCTACTTACCCACATAGCTTCACATGCTTCCAATGCCATGCCTTAAGGCTATTTCTCTCATCTTATTGTCATTTATTTGACTAAAAACGTTTATTTTCAATAACATATTTACATTTATATATATATATATATATATATAATAGAAATATTATTTTATTAGATTGATATAGAGAGAGAGAGAGAGAAAAAGTTAAAGAGGGAGAGAGATAAGGAGAGTGAGGGAGAATCATTCTCTCACTCATACCCTTACTTCAACGAACTTTCTCAGACTTTGATCATTAACATTTATTTTTAGAATATAATACAACCGTTCTTTAGACGTCATAATGATGCAAATGACATATTCACGTACATGTTCTCACGTGAAATATGTTCACACGTGGCATATGATAATGACAGCGTAAGATGTTCATATGGTAGCAATGATCTTGTCATGTGCAGGATCATCAGCGAACTATACACACTTACTCACTTACTCACATGCACATAGACACACTCCATACACAACAATGTGTATATGAGGATATCTAAAGATCTATCTATTCATTCACGTGTTCACGTGCATCTTTATGCAAATGAATGTGTGAAATGAAGCGAATGTTAGTAAATAGTTAATGAACATAACGAAATCATGTGTCAAATTTCGAGAAATATCAATATTTCCTTATTCATCTTCTTTACTTTCATGTTGTAAACAATGTAAATCATAAGTTTATAAAAGAAAACAAAAGCAAAAATAGGATATTTCACGTGTCATTATGTAGTTTTTCGTTTTCTTTTCCATAAAAACATATATGGAAGTACAAAAAATACAAGAAAAAAAAAAGAAAAAAAAGCTTCAAATGACGTCTTTTGCAGATTTTTTTGTTCCCAAAGGAATAGAAAGAGAATGATTGCGTAGGAGAAAGAGAATGAGACACAGAGAGAGAAAGAGAGAGGGAGGGCGAGGGAGGGAGAGAGGGAAACAAACTTTCTTTTTTAACGGTGTTTTCTTCATATACTCTTATTAGAAATTAAAAGGAAATAGTTGAATGAATAGGGAAAGACATGACAACTTGAAACGTACATAATATTACTTTCTTTCTCTAACACCCTCTCACGTCTATATGATCTTTCATCATCTTCTTCTGCTTTTTTTTGTTTTAAAATTTCTTTTTTTTTCCTTGTTCCATAGGATATGTTTGTTTCCATATTATGCGATACTTCTTTGTGCTCTTTTAAGCTTCATCTTAGATTATTTCAACTTTCCTTCCTCCTCTATCTCTCTCGATCCCTCTCTCTCTCTCTCGATCCCTCTCTCTCTCTGTCTCTTTCTCTCTCTCTCTTTTTCTCTCCATTTCATTCAGCTTTCCTCCTTTTCATTTTCTTCATTCATTTGTTCTGATTGAAATTTGTATTAATCTCTTTCTCACTCCCTCCTTCCCTTTATAGATCTATTCTCTCTCTCTCTCTCTCAATATTCCTCTCTTCTTTTATATAAATCAAAGGTTTTTCTCAATTGGCACGTTATGTTATGCCAATTATGTTGAAATCCATCTAAATATTCTAATTTCTTATTTAAAAAATAACTGAGTTTGATGTAAATAAAATATTTGAAATTATAGTCAAATGTCACTTTACCCAATGAGCTGACTAACTTCCCTTTCCGTTTCTGACCTGATTCGTATTGTTTCCATGAATATTTGACTTATTTTTTACTTTCTCCAATAACATTTTTACTTTTTTTATATTCCCTTTTAAGGGTTAGTAAGGGGAGGGGATTTCATATATCCATTAAAGGAACTGTTTTGAATAGCATTTGTGATGATCATTCACTGCTTCATGCATCGTTCCCATCTTCTTGTGTTGCGCGTTCCTTCCTTATCTCGCCCCCACTTCTTCCCAATGGGACTCATGTTCCATATGTCTCTGTGTGTGTGTGTGTGTCTCCTACTGCTGCTAGTGGTGTATGATGATGAACTTGTTGGCCAAAAAGTGTTAACAAATTCAAAAATGTTTTCATTTTCATGTAAGCTTCCAATATTATTGTTATTTTTCTACCATATTAGGTCAATAATAAGCCTTCGAAGTCATCAATTTTCAAAATATTTTTGTTTCTTTTACCCCTATCTTTGACGACCTTCTCTACCATCTACTTGCTTTACTCCTTCTACTCCCTCTACTCATACCTCTCTCTTCTATTTCATCCTCTTCTCCCCTTCTACTCCATTACTCCCTCTATTCCCTTGTTCCAGTCCTTTTTTAAATGAAAATTTTTCTTTTTTTCTCTTTCTTTTTTCCAGCATTTTTTTCATTATTTTTTTCGTTTTTTTTCTTCTTCATAGTCATCGTCAGTCAGTCATCAATGTCATCATAATTCGAAGATTTCATCATCCCAAATAACATTTTCTTTGCCTTTTTTTGGTCAAAACTTCATTTTGTGGAAAAAAAAATTATTTTTTAGCTTCTTGATGATGTGTATTCACTCATAATTTTCTCTTCTTCATATGTATTATCTCTCTCTCTATCTATCTCTTTCTCTCTCTATACATATAGAGAGGGATGAGACTCTTTGATGCATTTCTTTACATTATAAAGGATTTTCAAACATATTTCTTTATTATTTTCACTTATATATTCATGTTTCAGCCATAAACAAAGCTATTTAGCCTATTGAAGACGGTTATCTGATTTTTGCTCAAATTTTTCATTTTTTTCCGAAGGTAAATTTTTATTTTTTTCAGTTTTTCCCATCCAACCACAGTCATTGACGGTAAAGTTCTTTTAAAAACAAAAAAGAAATTCTTTTAAAGAGCAGATATACCCGCATACGTTGGATGTATGTTGTATAGAGAGTTGGATAGAGGGATGATGTAAGTAGAGGATATGAGATGATAGCAAGAGAGAGGGAAAGAGAGATGGAAATGGACATTTAGTTAAAGAGAATATATAAATCAATTAAATTATATAAATGTATATACATATAGTTAGTCTCTCTTCTTGTTTTTCTCACAAAAAAAATCTACAAAATTACATGGACAAGGCAATGATTTACTTTATCATTTACATGAAAAACAAGAAAACTTCTTCTGCTTCATCTTCATGATGTTAACAGAGTGTACAACACGATTATGACTTTTCTCTCTCTTTGTTTCATCTTCATATACATATATGGAGATAGATAGAGAGAGAGAGAGAGAGAAAGGTTTGAGAAGAAGGTTTTTTGTGTTATGGACACACCAACGAACATTTATATTTGGAAAATTGAAAGTCTTAGTCAATCACGCATACAAGATATGTCCATTGTGCCAGAAGAAGTTCCGTATTCATTTCAACTATTGAGATATCAAAATAACTATTTCTATTAAAAGAATTAAAGTTCCATAGAGAGTAAAGAGAATGGGAAAGAGGGAGTGAGAGAAAGAAATGAAAACATAGAGAGAGAGAGAAATAGGAAGAGAGGGGGAAAGTCAATCATTGAAGCAGACTAAGTGCTAACCCTTCTCTCTCTCTTCCTTTCGACTGGCTAAAGGGTGAAGGTTTGAATACTCTCCTATCTAATTACTCTTTATTTCTCTAATTCTCTTTATTTGGTGATTATTTTCTTTTTTTCTAACTGGCTACTAAGCTCATTTTGACCATGGATGCCTTCATGTGTGGCTCGAGACATACAGACTCTTAAATGACTGGAGAAGAGACACACAAGGTAATTGCCATATAGAGAACATTAGAGATATCATGCAAAGCTGTGAGAATGAGACGAGTATATGCAATAGATCAAAACATAATCAAAATATGAGAGAATTAGAGAAAAAAAAAGTAAAAACATCAAACCGGGGTATCAGTCCTAGTAAAGAAGGAGGAGCATACTCTGCAACAGGGGCGAGAAGCAGAAGGCTACTAACCAAGCTGAATAAAATGAAGCACCATCAGTCGAGCTAGCGACCCTAGTCACATAGCCACTAAAATATAGAGAGAAATAGAGAGATAGAGGGAGAGGTGAATTTAAAAGAAAAAGAGAGAGAGGGAGCAAAAAAAAGAGAGAAAAAGAGATAGAGAGGGAAAGAGAGAGAGGAAAGTTGAGTGAAGCGAAAGAGAGAAGTCATAGACGCTTTCCTATACAGAAAGCTTTCAAAGAACGTTTTTGAAAAAAAGGAAGCTTTTCCCTCTCTAACACCTCATCTTCTTATTTTTCCTATAATTCGTGTTCAATTAAACGTATATAACGGGAGATTTTGTCCTTCTTATTTGTGTCGATGTCGGCACTTTTGAAGCTTGAATCTTCAACTGCTGTCCCCAAACGAAATGTGGCCCGTTCTACCTCCTCTACTGGACCATCAATGACTGTTGTTGGATTATTACCTCGTATTCGTTCATCTAATCGTATGAAGGTATAGTTTTCAGATTTTCATCTTCAAACATACTAGCCAAAGTTGAACGCAAAAGAAAAAAAACATTTTTTGCCTCTCTCTCTCCGTTCTATTGGAAAAGAGCGGACGCAAGAGAAAAGCATAATTTGTGTTGTTTGTGCCTGTGTGTGTGTGTGCGTGGAACATCTCCAGAATCTCAACAGTCATTATGAATAAAAAAAAATAGATAAAAATTAAAATGTTCGAAGCCATCAGAAGATATTCACAGGTTTGTCAGTCTTGTTTTTAACTTTTCCTCTTCTCGTATCTCCTCCATCCCCACCCATCCTTTTACTCTCACCTCCCCCCCCCCCCCCCCCCCTATCTCTCTCTGTCTCTCTCTCCTTCTCATCTCAACAATTGAATCTCTTTTTTATAGAAAAAAAGCCTTTTTTTCTTGTTTTTTCCTTTTTTTTTTCATGTTTTAATGTAATTGAGAAGGTGTAAGATATTGATAGTTCTTGGCAGCCAAAGTTCTTCTCGTCATCGTCCATTTTCAGCAAAGATAGATCTTTCTAGCTTTTGCCAATTTCAGCTGTTGAATTGGAAACAAGCTCAGTTCACACATTCTGTGCTGTTTGACTTTTTGCCTTCTCGGTGTAGTGAGGAGAGGAAGAATGAGAAAAGAGAGCTGCATAGAGGGAAAGAGAAATAGGCAGAGAAACGAGGGGAAGAGAAGCATAGGTAAGTAATTGAAAGAATATGTCTTTTTATCATTTACTCACAACGTATTAAACGAAGAGAGAGAGAGAGAGGGAGGGAGGGAAAGAGAGGAAAGAGAAAGAAAACAAACGAGATAGAGAGACTAGGAATCAATGTTAGAGAGTAGAAGAAACAGAGAGAAGAGAAGTAGAAAGAGAGAAAAAGCTTGGAATTATTCTAATCTTATGATTTTTTTCTGTCGCCTTACCATATGAGTCAATTAATTTAAAGCTTTTCCCTCTTGTTATCTTTCTCATTCAACCCCATATATACATATATCTTTTCCCTTTATATTCTCTTTTACGTGTTTATATTGCAACCGAAAATGAGATGAAGAGAGAGAGAGAGACATAGATACAGATATAAAGAGATATGTGGATACAGAGAGAGAGAAAGATTGAGAGAGAATTAGATAGAGAGAATGCCTGCATTGAACTCTTCCATTCTTTCGGAGCATGTTCAGCTCGCAGTGTAGGCAGATGCCGTCTAACTGCCCTTAGGCGATATGGCCACATGATGTGCAGTAGATGGTCGTGTGTATTTCAGTAACTATATTCATTTATAAAGGAGACACTAAGCAAACAGATCGTCTTCTGCCATATTCTTTTTTAGTTTTGAACACGAAAAAAAAAGAAGAAGAAGAATAAGAAGTAGAGTATAGAGAGATAGAGGGAGATAGAGAATGATGAAGACGAAGAAGAAGGAAAACTAAAAGATGGTAAGGATGAATGCATATGAGGACATTTTCAATTCATCATTTTCCTCCTACACCGCCTACCATGCAGCTTTAAACATAAATCATATATAAGAAGCTTTAACTCAACCGTTTTTTCCGTGTCGCCATTTACATATAAGTAGTTGGCATGGTTTAGAAAAACCTTTTTTTTTCTTTTTTTTTCATTTCCGTGAACTGAACTTGTCACTTAATTTTCATCTCCCAAAAAAAGGCTTATTCTTCATTCATATAACAAGGTCATATTGGGCATGAAGATGACAAGTGATGGATGAGCTAATCATCGTCAGCAGCTTGTGTGAAGCTTAATCCTCATTTATCGAGAGTACATTCGTCTTGCCTTCTCTTCTGTGTTTTTTTGTTTCTTATTTTACTTAACAAAATCTTTTTTAAATTTTTTTTTCCAAAGAATTATTCGAATGAAATATTCAGCCTATTGCTCCTTCAGATTCACTTTCTTTCATTCGGAAACGACTCGTCGTCGTCCATTCGTTTTCCTCGCTTCAGTCACTCGTCTTCTGAAATTTAAGATGGAAGAAAAGAATCTTCTGACATTTACAAAAACTTTTTCGTCTCTCTATACGCTTCTCCTTTTTTTTAATTTTATCATTCTAATTACTATCAGATTTCCTCTCTTCATCTTTTAGTTCCTCTCTTTCTCGCTCCCTTCTTCTCTCTATATCTACCTCTCCCTCCTTCTCTCTACCTCCGTCCTTCCTACCCCATCCTATCAATCTCGCTGGCTCTCTCTCCCTCTCATATGTCCTTTCAATCAGAAAAGATTTTTTTTCCCTCTTTTTTCCCTGTTAATCAAACTTTTTGTGGCTTTAAATGATATTTCTACATTTGCCGTTGCTATGCCAATCTATTATCGAATTTGAAACTTCTTTTTATTCTAATTTTATATTTTTCACGTGATTTTCACGTCACGCGTGATTTCTCATTTTTCAATTTTCATTCAACAGAGCGGTTGCTTACAGAGAGAAAGATATAAAGGGTAGGAAGAGAAAAAGTGAAATATAGAGAGATGTGGATAGAAAGAGAAAGAGAGAGAGAGAGAGGATGAATGACACACAAAAAAACGTTTTCGTCTTCGTCTTCTCTATCTTCAATATGAATATTATAAGTTTTTCTATTTTGTTCGATAATGAATAGTTGTACTTGTTATTCTCATGACGTCAGAATGAACAGTTTGAGAAGCAAAAAAGGGAGAGAAAAGCGAGAATGTGAAAGAGCTGAGAATGAAGTAGAGAAGCTTATTGAAATTAATAAAAGAAAAGCTTAGCTTAAAGAACTTTAATCTTCTTTTTTGGAACAATAAAAATTGACTGTGAATATGAATCAGTCTGTACCCACATACGTCAATAATGATATTTTGATAATTCGAAGAAGATAGAGATAAAGAGAGATAATGATAGAGAAAGAGAGAGAGAGAGAGAGAGAGAGAGCTAAAAGACGAACAGATATTTCCTTCTTTGTCTTTGTTGAAAACTTTATTTGGGCTTTTCGTTTTTTTGTTTTTTTCCTACAAAAACATCTGTTTGTTATTATAATGAAACTAATTAGTCATTCAAAATAAAGAAAAAGATTTTTTTCTTTTTCATCTCTCTCTCTCTCTCTATCTATCTCTCTCTCTCTCTCTTTCTTTCCTCAGCAGCAAGAAAAAGGTTTTTTCTTGCCTTTTCGGTGAATTGTTCGCGCCTGTCGTTCATAACTTGCCTTCACGCACTCATTCGAACACACACCGACGTCCTCAGTCGTTTTGATCTCATTTATCATCTGAATCCTCAACATCATATTCATATTCATATGTGACGTTCATGTTATTTAAAAGAGAAGGCTTTTTCCCTTCCTCCATCCCTCCCCTTCAAATCCAATGTAATGTTGTCAATTTGACAACAAAAAAAAAAGAGAAAAAAAAGAAATTCTTGTGTTCAAACAAGTACAAACTATCTTAATTGATCTGTCTGAAGGGGAGAGGAAAAGCTCGGAGAGAAAGGAAATAGAGAGAAGCAGGGTAGAGGGGTTAAGGGGAAAAGCTAATTAACCATTAGACACGAACTATCGATAGTCTGCTCAATAAAAAAAAATTTTTTTTTTTGCTCTTTCTATATTTCCATCTTGAATATTTCGATTGTTGTCTCCTGTTTTCGTGGTGGTGATACTTGCCTCTACCTCATCTACCACCATACCTCTCTCCCTCTCCATCACTCTCCCTCTCTCTCTCTCTATTTCTTTCTCTCTTATACTTTGAGCTCTTGATGTACTTCTTTCTTCTTCTTCGTTTATAAGTTTCCAATTGTTTTCAATAGTTTTGTAAAAACTTTTTTCCTCAACACAACAGTGTGTGTGTGGAGGAAAGTATCTGAGAGAGTGAGTGAGAGAGAGAGAGAGGGAGAGAGGGAGGGAGTGAAAGAGGTTTTTTCTCCATCTTATTAGTTGAGAAAAAGTATTTTTCTCACAAAAAAAGATGATAAATGAGAAGGACGAACGACAATAATCTTGGTTGAGAATCTTGAAAAGTCACGCAAAGCTAGAAGAAGCCCAGTCTAATTAAGGAAAAAAAGAAAAGAGAAAAGCTAAATGCCAAGAAAGAAGTTGAATAAATAATTTAAATTTTTCTCTTGAAAAAGGCAAATAAATTTCTGAAAGTTTATTTACTAATTAGAATAAACTCTCTCTATGTCTCTCTCTCTTCTTTCAATCTTTCCCTCTCTCTCTTCCCTCTCTTTCAGTTTATGCCTCATTTCTCTCTATAAAATACTTCATAAAGAATCAATTTCTCTCTCTCTCTCTCTGTCTGTCTGTTTCTCCTTCACACGCCCTTCCCTCCCTTGTTGTGTTCCTTTCTCCCTCTATCACTCTCTCTCTCTCTCTCTCT